CTCTTCAGTTTTTTAAGGGGGAAAAAGCACCTTGTGAATTTACTTGGAAACTTTAGAAATTCTATTTCTGCTTACATCTGCATCTTGTGCATGTGACCACGTATGACTACAGTTAAACACCTAATTTTACCCAGGATAGAAACTATCACCATTGCTCTAGAATGTAATTCTCCGTGGTTATTTCTGCTTGTTAATACTTCAAGTTATCATCTGTTTTTAATATTTTCTTAATAGGAAAATCAAGAATCTGCAAAACCAGTTATACTTCACAGCTCTACTTCACAGTGAATCACAGTGCAGAACTCCCTAGCTGATACTGACTGAAACCAGTAAGCCCTAAATGGTGCATTACAGCATTGCAAGGACCCAGCAATCACACCTGTAGGAATACAGCAATGAGACAAAAAATACTTAGGGAGAGACAAAGTTGTTTTTCAAATCTTGACAAGCTTATATGCAGCCTTGTAGGTATCACCACACCACTCCAACACCCCCTCTTCTGCTGTGTACAGATTCCAGCTCTTGGAGGTACAGAGCCAAGCAGCCACAAAACTTACTTAGGACATGATCTCTGCCATTTAAATTAGGCTAGTAAGCTAGTATTAAATCAGATACTAGGTAACATTAAAAAAAGGTTTATTTTTATGGGCACAGCATCTACCTTATTACCATACATTTGTATCTTAACTGGCTGGTAAAACTGTTCTCTATTACAGAACATCTTCCTCCTTTCGTCATCACTTTATCATATCCTGATTTCCAGCCTCAGGGAGCTGTATTTTCCCACCTTACCTCCAGTGCTCTCTTGTAATCACCCAAATGAAAGGCACAGTATCCCATCCAAAGGTCAGTATCCTCCTCCTGCTCACCCACCTGCCGTTTAAACTTTGTACAGAAGAAATAATGTAAGAGTTTTGTCCGCTGCCACACAGTTTATAAAGCCCCACAAATCATCAAACTAATACTAGGCCATCTTATCTCACGGACAGCTTGACAGCTATGGATGCTACAGGGGTCGAGCTGCTCTAACATTTCTGAGGGATGCAGCCGCCAACTCTCACATGCCGAACCTAGCCCTGCGAACCGAGGGGAAAGCTGCCGCAACAAGGCCTAACGGGTGCGGAAGGAAGAGAGGAGGACACAAGGCTGGGGAAGGGCTCGCCTTGGCCCGCAGCAGCATCGGGCACAGGCCTGGCAACAACGATACCGCTATACCGCTCTCCTGAGGGGAGCGCGAGAGCCGGGGGGGGAGGAGGGGAGGCGCCCTCGAGTTGAGGTCTCTGGGGCCGTCGCCACTGTTACCTCCAGCAAGGCGATCGCGCCGGTGAAGTCCCTCAGGGCCAGGAGCTCTTCCAGCTGCGGCACCTTCTTCCCTTTCTTCCTCCGGCTGTCTAACGGCGGCGGCGTATCCGCCACTGCCGGCTTGGCCCGGGAGAGCATCTGGACAAAAAGCAGAGCGGAGCTTAAGCAGAGGTTTCCCCATCCGAGACGAGGGAGGCGCCGCACCCCGGAACCCACCACCTCTCACCATCTTGCTACCAAGCCCGCCCTCCTCACTCTGCCAACGGCGCCGTTGCCAGGGTAACGGTGGGGCGGGGGAGGGCCGCGGCGCAGGCCAGAGCGCAGCGGCGAATAGGCGCCGGCTCGCGACTGGAGCCGTCCCTCGGGTTCCGCCTCCACTGCGCCGGGCGCCCGTCTCCAGGGCCAACACGAGACGGGGAACCAGGGGAGCAGACTCTCGGTCTGTCTTTAGTCACTGGCATGCGGGAAACGTAGGCCTAATGTGGTCTAATTCCAGCTGCTGGCACTTAATCCCCCGTAAACACAGATTCACATACGGGTTCAGAATAGAGAGTCCCCTCATTCAGGAAAATAGTTGGAAATGGAGTGTATGATGGAGCCGAGAGACACCAGAGAAACATACTGATGAGCAACCGGTTTGCATGTTACCACCCCCTTTTGTCCCCTTGTCCTGTGTTCCATACTGGTTCCTCCCCAAACCTGGGGGATACTGTCCTGGTTTCAGCTGGGATAGAGGTAATTTTCTTCGTAGTAGCTGGTACAGTGCTGTGTTTTGGATTCAGTATGGGAATAATGCTGATAACACACCGATGTTTTAGCTACTTCGTACTGCTTACCCTAATCAAGGACTTTCCAGTCTCTCATGCTCTGCCAGTGAGGAGGGGCACAAGAAGCGGGGAGGGAGGACAGCCAGGACACCTGACCAAACTAGCCAAAGGGATATTCCATACCATATAATGTCACGCTTAGTGTATATACTGGGTGGGGAGGTGTTAGCGGGAAAGGCTGGACATCAGTCAGCGGGTGGTGAGCACTTGTACTGTGCATCACTTGTTTTTCTTGGATTTTATTCCTCTCTTTCATTTTCATCATCATTATTATTATAGCTTTTTTTTCAATTATTAAACTATTCTTATCTCAGCCCACGAGTTTTACCTTTTTTCCCCTGTTCTCATCCCACTATGTCAGGAAGGGGGAGTGAGTGAGCAACTGCATTGTACTTAGATGCCGGCTGAGGTTAAACAGTGACAGATGACAGTCACTTGACGAAGCTGTATCCTGCTTAGTCTAGAGCAGAGTCTAACTTTTATGCTGAAAAGAAATATACAGCCTGTCACTCTGAAAATGAAGTCCTTTAGAGAAAGAGTATGAAACAACAGTTAAGAGAAAAGATTTATTACTATTTATTTTGGTAGTGTACAAGTTAGATAGATGAATAATATTAACTTTCACATGTGTATGTGTTAGAAAAGGGTTAAAAGGAAGAAGTCTTTATTAATTGAGCTAGATATTATGATACATCACATATTTGGCTTCATCTACTGGTATGTGGTAACCACATGCCAGGCTGCTGGTACTATGATGCAATTTCATAGAATCACAGAATAGTTAGGGTTGGAAAGGACCTTAAGATCATCTAGTTCCAACCCCCCTGCCATGGGCAGGGACACCTCACACTAAAACATGTCATCCAAGGCTCTGTCCAACCTGGCCTTGAACACCACCAGGGATGGAGCATTTACCACTTCTTTGGGCAACCTGTTCCGGCACCTCATCACCCTAACAGTAAAGAACTTCTTCCTTATATCTAACCTTTAAGTTTAAACCCATTACCCCTTGCCCTATCGCTACAGTCCCTGATGAATAGTCGCTCCCCGGCATCCTTGTAGGCCCCCTTCAGATACTGGAAGGCTGCTATGAGCTCTACATGCAGCCTTCTCTTCTCCAGACGGAACAGCCCCAACTTCCTCAGCCTGTCTTCATACGGGAGGTGCTCCAGCCCCTGATCATCCTCATGGCCCTTCTCTGGACTTGTTCCAACAGTTCCATGTCCTTTTTATGTTGAGGACACCAGAATTGTACACAATACTCCAAGTGAGGTCTCACAAGAGCAGAATAGAAGGGCAGGATCACCTCGTTCGACCTGCTGGTCACGCTCCTTTTAATGCAGCCCAGGATATGGTTGGCTTTCTCGGCTGCGAGTACACACTTCAGCAGCTCATGTTCATTTTCTCATCAACCAACATCCCCAAGTCCGTCTCCACAGGGCTGCTCTGAATTTCTTCTCTGCCCAGCCTGTGGCTGTGCCTGTGATTGCCCCAACCCAGGTGTAGGACCTCGCACTTGGCATGGTTAAACTTCATAAGGTTGTCATCAGCCCACCTCACAAGCGTGTCAAGGTCCCTCTGGATGGCATTCCTTCCCTCCAGCATATCAACTGAACAACACAGCTTGGTGTCATCGGCAAACTTGCTGAGGGCACACTCAATCCCACTGTCCATGTTGCCGACGAAGATGTTAGACAAGACCGGTCCCAACACCAGTCCCTGGGGGACACTGCTCATTACTGGTCTCCAACTGGACCTTGAGCCATTGACCACAACGCTTTGTGTGCGGCCATCCAGCCAGTTCTTTATTCGCTGAGTTGTCCATCTATCATATTGATGTCTTTCCAATTTAGAGACAAGGATTTCAATTACAACTGTTCTTTTTCTTACCTGCGGATTTCCTTTCACTAGATTAGTAACTTCTGATGAGAACAATCAGTTCTTTGCAATGTAATTTCATTCTAATATGTGGCAGCAACCGCGAACTCCAAGATCAGACCTAAACTCTTGATAACCCATGACGATGGCAATATAATCAGAACTTCTACTTTATCAGGATATGTACTGGGTCAGGATCATGCTGTACCATCAGGATCATGGAATATATGACCCACATATTTGCATGCTTTTTTGGAGGCTTGTTGTTTCAAAGAATAATATTTGTAAAATCTTCTTTTGTATTCTTGTATAGTAAATGAGAAAAAAGATTGGTTCTGGAAAGTCAATGTAGTTGCTATGCAGCTGCTATACATGTATACTATATACATGTATATAGCTTCTAAATAGGTATGCTGTACAGCTATGTTTGTAATTTACATTACTGTCTTCTAAATCTGGACAGTAGAAAGATTGTAAAAACCATTTAAAAGAGAAAAAAATATACCATGTCATTGGTGTTCTGTAATACTGAAAGTTAAAAACATCTTTATACTATACAGGCTAGACCTGTAAGTTACTGACATTAAATAAACACAGACATACTGTAATCTTTTCTTTTCTGTCTGTCATCACATTTGGGATTCCAGCCTCTAATAAAACTGGAAAAAAGAGGAAACTGAAACATTTCTATTTCATTTTTCTTCAACATGATTTCCTGAATATTTTTAATGACAGGGTAAAAATTATTAAAGCCCCAAGCAAACAAAATAATTTGCAATCAGTCATATTAAGAATGGATAGAACTTGAAAACATCAAAGTTTTTCTACATTTATCCTGTTGTCTAAATAAAGCCATATATTGAAACATACAGTACCTCATGCAATTTTACTATTAAAAATCCTGTATTGTACATAAACAAAATTGACAACTTCATGTTTTTCAAAAATACAGGCACGGCCACTGAAACCAGGGAATTTCTCTTTTTTTTTAAAAATGAGAATTAAATACATAACTATATCTGCTGTTCTTTTAATTTACATGTCTTTTCAGATTTTTTTTTAAATGTCCATTTTTCACATTTCCTAATTCTGCAATGCTGGAGACTTGCAGCATTGCTCTTATTTTAATGGAAACTTGGATTCTTGTGTACTGTAAAAGTTCCTGGCTCTGGAGAATATAAACGATAATGTACAATTGTGAAACTTGTAAGTTGATCATAACAATCATAATTAAATGACAGTGAGAAAATAAATAATTGTAGCAAGTAGGAAAATGTCTATTTTAAAGGATACTGTCAAATATTTTATTTTGCAAAATAAGACAATTGTATCACAATGCATGTTTCTTTACAAAATAATGGCTTGAAAAATGCTACATTGATTGTCTTTGCTACCAAAGAGGAACTGATAATATGTCTACATTATTGTCAGACTTACTAGCACTATTTGTTCTAACTTCCACAGTAGTAGTTTGACTGACTGAGAGCAGTTGGGACTTGCATGTAACTCTTTGGCTTTTCTGAGCTTTCTGAAGTTTTCATTTCATATCTTCTCTCTGTTTTCTCGTCTCCCGAGTAGTCAAGTGGAAATAATGATTTGTAATTAAGTAAAAAATAAATTAGGCCATGTGACAGCAAAAATGAATATGGTAAAGGAATTGGAGATGCATTCAGAACAAGTGCCTTGTTCTGAATACAGTTGCACTTTTACAATATGAGCAGAATAGGCAAAGGGATTCTGTGATGCTCAGGTTGTCCTCTCATTACCATTTTTCAGGCCTCTCAGACTCTGTACAAAAAAGAAACCAATGAAATGAGGAAAGCCTTGTCACATGGACCATTAAAAAAGGACTAGAAATGTTCTGTAGGGCATAGCAGGCTGAGGGACTTAGAGGAAAAACTCCATGGTTTTTGCTCTTTTGCTTTCTTTTTCCCTGTCTATGTGTCTTTCAGTATTCCAGAAAACTGAGAAAAACTCTCAGAGTAGTTTCAGATCAGGAAGTCAGTGCTGATTATCTGTTTTATATACACTCTATAATATCTGGTTGTTTATTATCCAATAAAACAGAAGTCAGAACAAACAAATAGTGCTGTAGAATCAGGCACTAAAAATCACTTTTCACTAAAACCAATGCTACAGTTCTCTGGTGAGTTAATTTAGGATGGTATTTCTAATCTAACACAGATTATAAGAACACCCACAGAGATCTATTATGGTGTTTTGTAACTATGCAATATATGCACAGGTATTGTTGTTCGTGAGGGTCTGAATTCTGTCTTCAGATGAATAAATGTAGGGCCTGCCTATCTGAATCTTATTTGCTCCTGTGCTTCTGAAGGCAGAATAAGTGATAAACTATAGGGTTTGTATTCAATGATTCAAGGGTAGACCACCATCAGCTATTCATAATTCTAGGATTACAGAGATGAGGTACTCAAGGTGATGTACACCTAAGAACTGTCTTTTTAGATAGATACTTGCATATAGTGAAACTGTTCAATGCTAGGATATGTTTAACTTTCTGACAAGACGGTAGCAATAGCTGGTGCCTAGAAACCACAGCCAGAAAAAATGCACTGGGGATGTCAGATGCAGTTTCTTATCACTGTATTCCTTAGAAGGTGATTAAACCTTGACTCATAAGAAAGAATAAGTAGTTCTAGAAGATGTGCTTTAAAGATATTTTAGGATAAATTTTGTGGGTTTCCTGGAGGTGTCAGGAGAAGTTACCTTAGGCAAGATATTCCTGGTGTTTGAGACTTTTGCTCTGTTTTGCCATGTCATCACATCCTTTCAGGGGTAGACAGAGCCATTTGCATCGCCTTCAGGGTGCTCCAATGCTATTCTGTTCTAAGACAGTATTTCTAATTAAAGCTGCAGTTGCCTGTAGGAGTCAAAAAGCCTTTTTTTCTTTTCCTCTGACACATAACTTGGCTTCTAGGTTTCTGAATTGTATCCCTCCTTGACTAACCTTTGAAGTGTGAGAGTTGGCTCACAGTTGGAGAAAAGTTACTGAGATAGTGGGGCCTGAAGAGATATGGAAGATTTTTGGGGGTATCTGGCTGATCTGTGTCACTGGTAACCTCTTGGTTTTATAGATTGCTAGGCTGGAGTTTGCAAAAGAATTAGATGAAGTTAGCTGGGATCGTAGGGGTTTTAGCTTCATTCTGCAGCCAGGGCACTATGAATGGACTGGCATTGGTGTCTCACCGCTTCTATTCCTCAGGGACTAAAGATCTCTCAGGCACAGGCAGTAACAAACTGTATATTACAAATATACAATTTTTTTTTTGCTTTCCTTGTAGCAGGCCCATCAAATTTTGTGGTTTACACTTATGACTCATTCATTTACTTTTTCTTCTCTCCTTATGATCTCCTCTAGTATCAGTAACTCTCACATTTACAGCATGATGCCGCAGCTTTTCTTTGTCTCTCTCACACCATGAAGCAGATGTTACTAATCAGTCTGCCAGGCAACTGTGTTTGATGTGCAAAGCCCTGAGGTACAAGGGAAAGTGCGGTGCTCAGCAGGTTCCAGGGAGCACTTGCTTCATTCCAGCTGCAGCCTCTTGCTGCATACCGTCCAGCTCCACATCACCCAATGCTAAACGTGTACTCATGGGACTTGACACTGAGAGACTACAAACAGTGGGCAATTAAATAGTTGAGAGGTCAACAACTTATTTATAACGTGTTCTGTCTGGGGACTCCCTGTGGCACTGTGAAGGCAGGGGTTAAGGAAGAGATTAAAAAGAAATGCTGTGCCAAGGATATTGTTGATTTTACCTTTTGTTTTTAAGGGTATTTTTAATGTGCTATGAAAACCAAATAAATACATTAATAGATACAAAACCAGGGAGACCTCAGTGCTATTACATGCTTCCTGTGTGACCAGCAGTGTAAAATACTCAGTTCTACCTGTATTATCCATGATAGTGAATGGTTTCTCTCAAGTAGGCTAAAAATTTTGTACTAAAGAGTACAAAATTGCAAATTCTGCTTTGATGAAGTTAATGAGAAATCTCCTGCTGACTTATATGGGAGAAATTTCAAGGAATTTGTAAATACCTATTAAATGGGGTCATGATGAGCCCATGATCTCAGCATGAAAAGCTATATTCCGTTCTCATTGTGTGGCTCTAGCCAGCCATACTACTCCAGATATTTAAATGGCAGACTGCTAATTAAGAATTACTGTATTACTAATAACAAATGCTAGATGAGATATGCTGAGGTGTTCAAGGCCTGCTCTTGAATGCTGGCTTACATTCTCCTTTCTTGTTTGGTGTAAGAAAGATTCAAGCAATAATCACTTGGTATTAAAATAAAATCATATAAAATGTCTATGCAAATATATTTGAAGTGTATTCAACCCCCTTTAAATACAGCTTTGAAAGAAACCATGGAATTGCAGTTCTATTTTAAACCCAAAAGCACTATTATTTACACTTCTGCTGATTATTGATTCGGAGAAAACTCCAAATTGATTCAGAGAAAACTCCAGAACAAACTTGCCAGCAGAGTTTCAAGTTGACAAGCAGGTATTCTTTATTGCGGCGCCGGGAGACACGGGGGACAGCTCCTCCTAACGTGTGTCCCCGAATTGCTATACAGATCATCCTTATATGGTCACTGAGCATATTACATCATTTTCTAAGAAGTTTCCGGCATGCATACAAAACTGTGGTGGTCTTTAAGGGTCGTTTACTTTTCCCAACAAGCTTAATTAACATTACAGACATAGCAATCATCCTGGCCTTCTACTTATCAGTTAGTTTAACTGCTCTCATCCTGGACATCTGCTAGTCCCTGATACTCCCTAGTAGATGCTTACACCAGCTTAATGGGTTATTAACACCTCAAGCATAGCAATCATCCTGTCCTTTTACTTATCAGTTAGTTTATCTGTGCCCACCCCGGACATCTGCTAGCCCCCCAGATACTCCCCATCCCCAGGTCCTGTCCTTCTATTCTGCTTTTCTCACACCTTTTGTACAGAGGTCCTGAGGGCCTGAAACTATGTCAATTACCTTCAAGCACAGCAGTTATTTTCCATTACAAAGCCATCAAACTTAACATTACTTAGAACTGATTACATTCTGTACTTTTGTGCCTCCTTGTTTCATTATTTGCTTGTTTTTCTTAAAATTATTTCAGGAAGGTAATAAAAGTAAACAGATTTATTATCTGACAGCCTTAGTCCAGGTTTCAGTAGAAAATAAGAAGCTGATGTAGGCTTGCATAAACACCTCAAATTCAAACCAGTCACACTCAGTACTTTATTTAGATTTGCCTGTTGATTCCTTTTATCTTACAGTTCTCCTTTGAGCCCAGACTTACCCATAAGGCTTGTGGATGTTTGTCTTCCTTTCATTCTATCTGCCTTCCCTGAGGCCATTCAATATTCAGGAAAGACCAAGAACCCTACACAGAAGTGATAGCGCAGAGTCCTTCAGTGCATGGCTTTTAGCGATGCCATTTAAAATTTAGCTTTGGTCCCACAGATCTGAGATGTGGCCTTCAGCTTTGCTAATCCTTGTGTGATGCAAGAGGTTGAATCACATTAAGTGTGAGTATGTTTGGGCCCCATTTGTAGAGCTGTCTTACAAAGAAGCAATGGGCAGTGAGACCTGTGCTGCCAGAGAGCAATGTGTCTAGAGCAGACCTGGGGTGCTTTGGTGCCTAATGCTGGATGAGTATGAGCAGACAAACTTTGTGCTGAGCCTACTCTGTAAGTAAAAACAAAGGCTTTGGTCTGGAGGATTGCAAGTCAGACATTTTTGCCACACAAAAAGTGTTTCAATGGTAAAAGCCAAAGGAATAGAATTGGTTTCTTATCACAGAAGAAAATATACCATTGATTTATGAGCCTAGCCACCAGAAATGGTGTGGCAATTTAACCAGAGATGTAGGGCAATGCAAACATGAAGTAACCATCTTTTTTCCTCTAGGCTTTAATGAACCTTGTATTTTATTTCCATTTAAAAGAGTTGTCTTTACAGTCCATTTGTCCCCTCCTCTGCCTTCTCTCAGCTCATCCGCTTGATGAAGAGTTAGTGCCCTTACAGGACAAGGTTTCAGGTAATGTTTCAGTTTTATAGCCTCAACCTTACCATGAGCAAACATTCACAGCAACCTTTAGCCTCTCCTTTCCTGAGTTTTGCTGTTGTTAGTTTGTCACAAACAGAAGCGCACCTAGCACAGTGGAGGGGCAGGCAGAGGTGGAGGTGGGTAGGGGGATAGGGAAGTGCCTGAGAGAAGGATAATACAGCCTGTCTTTGAATCTACGGTCTGGAGATCTCTTTCATCCCATCCAGGAACAAAACCAATGTAGAGTATCTGAAAGGAAGAGGGTTGGAAGGGAAACAGAAAAGAGAGAGCACACACAATGGATCTAAACTGAACAGTAATGAAGAAACGGATGTTGGGTCTGGCCCTTGGGCCTTTGTTTTTCTCACTTCAGCTGCTGCAGCAAGTTTGTTCAAATGAATGTAGCAGTAATCATTACGTGATCAATGTAATGCTTATGAATTACTCGGACTTCCCATCAACTACTGATAATTTGAAATTAGCTGTGAAGCAAGCCTTGAAAAGGGTACAAAATGAAGTCCAGCTGAGAGGTAAGATGACAGGTGTTGGTTATTCTTCTCCTGCTGTGGTTCCTTGTGACACTTTGTGCCACAGCTTTCTACTCATCTGACCTCCAGCAAACTGCTCCTCCAGCAGGCTCTCTGCTTAACTGTTCAATTTATATAGATCTTACAGAAACAATGACCTCCCTCTGTAAAAACAGAAGTTTTGCCCACAAATGGGCAGAACCATATTTGCTTTCATGGTGTTTGGGCTGATTCTTCCTGCATGCTTTTCTGGAGATATTCACTTGGGATTTGAAATATGGGAATTGCTGAACTGGATCAGACAAGACCAGTGATCCATCTAGTGCGGAAACTGGGATGACCTTGCTTCCTCTCCTGACTGTATTAGCTTGTACTTTCTGAAAACAATTTTTGCCTTGACCCCATCTGTTTCCCACATTATGACTTGAAGTGGGAAGAATGTGCAGTCTCTCTGTTTTTTCTTCATTTAGGATCACTGCAGAAGATGCTTGTATTTATTTTTATATGTTACCTCTTCTTTCAATATCACCAATCTACTATCATTCTCTAGAATATCATGGGGAAAGGGGTTCCAGAAAAATGGTATCTATTCCCTTTCTGCCCTCTACTTGAAGACTTTGTCAATTTCATTGGAAAGTGGTCTCTCAGTTACTTCATACAGAGTCTTAAAAAATGTCTCTAATAATGGCTAACACTAAAAGTACTTTGTATTGAAAGTACTAAGGCTCAACAATAGAAGTCAACAGTCCACACTGCAAATTTTGGAGCAAATTTTACAGTTTCATCCTAAGCAGTGGGGGTTAGGTGGTACATGGACTTTCTCGCAGGTTTTTGGTGGGAGACAACCTAGAAGAAGACTGCTCAGACCTGTGTATTAGTAATTATCTGCAACTCATAATGCTGTTTACTTTTGTGTTTGCATTACAGAAGAAAATGTTACAGTCAGTGCCACTTTCCACAGCTTTACCTCATCACTCTATGTCTCACAAGGCTGTCGTACCAGCACCTGTGAAGGTGTGGAGCTCATCAAGCAAATTTATGTGAGTAGCAGGATTCTTTTAGTTGATTTCCTAAGAAGACAAGACTTGTTTCTTTCTGCATGAGTGCACGCATATGTGTCTGTGTCTTTCCTTGTTAGCTTTTGATCCTGTTGTTCAGTTTCAAACAAATTTGACAGAGAAGTGGAGTTTTCAGAGGAGGTGTTCCTGTAGGTTTTGTGGAGACAAGCAGGCAAATACTGGAGAGAGATTCTTGCTGGGGGCTGTCATTAGACATTTGGGGCAGTACCAGCAGCCTTCAGCTTCGGGACTCTTTTCCTATGCTTACTTTGTCCTCTTTTTTGCATCTGCACAGCTCTTCAAATGGCCACATAGTCAATAACAAAGCAAAACACAACCAAGAAAAAAAAACCAACAACAACCCCAAACCCTCAAACAGCCCAAGCAGAGCAGAAAAGGTCCATTTCCAACTGAATCAGACCCTGATCTGGTTCACCATTGGTTTACACAAATACACAAAGGAGATAGCTCTGTGAGGATGGGAACATGCCTGCAGAGAGATTAGGCTGGCACTGATAGCAAAGAAATGCATATGGAACTATGCCCAAAGGGCAAAGATGAAGTGCTCACTTCTCACTAGAAATCACAGAAGTCACGTGGAAGAAACTAGCTGAATGCCCTAGTGTGCAGAAAAGCTTCAGTTAGAACTGGTGCCTTACAAGAAGCTGTGTTTCAGTAGATTTTGTCATGTCTAATAACTGTTTCCTCTAAGTGAAGCTTTGTCAATCACAGTATCACAGTATCACAGTATGCTGGAGATTGGAAGGGACCTCAAAAGATCATCTAGTCCAATCCCCCTGCCAGAGCAGGAACACCTAGATAACGTTACACAGGAATGTGTCCAAATGTCTCAAATGTTCCAGTGTTCCGTCACTACTGCCTTCTCAAGTTTAAGTGGAGCCAGTTTGCACCCATTACCCCTTGTCCTATCATTGTTTGCCACTGAGTAGAGCCTGGCTCCATCCTCGTGAGTATTTATTTCCTCTTCTCTAAACTATAAAGAAGCTCCCTCAGTCTTTCCTCATAAGGGAGATGCTCCACTCCCTTAATCATCTTGGTTGCCCTGCGCTGGACTCTCTCCAGCTCCCTGTCCTTCTTGAACTGAGGGGCCCAGAACTAACACACAAGATGGGGTCTCACCAGGGCAGAGTAGAGGGGAAGGAGGACCTCTTTGACCTACTAACCACCGCCCTTCTAAGGATGCCATTGGCCTTCTTAGCCACAAGGGCACAGTGTTGGCTCATGGTCATCCTGTCGTCCACTAGGACCCCCAGGTCCCTCTCCCCTACACTGCTCTCTAGCAGGTCGTTCCCCAACCTATACTGGAACCTGGGGTTGTTCCTGCCCAGATGCAGGACTCTACACTTTCCCTTGTTATATTTCATCCCGTTATTCCCTGCCCAACTCTCCAGCCTGTCCAGGTCTCGCTGGATGGCAGCACAGCCTTCTGTTCCCAGCTTAGTGTCATCAGCAAACTTGCTGATAGTATCAATTCCCTCATCTAAATCATTGATGAATATATTAAATAATACTGGTCCCAGTACTGACCCTTGAACTGTTACAGGCCTCCAACTCTCAGCCCCATAGACTACAACTCTCTGGCTTCTCTCCTTCAGCCAGTTCGCAGTCCACCTCACTACCTGGTCATCCAGTCCACACTTCCTCAATTTAGCCGTGAATCCAATGTGAATCCAATGTGAATCCAATGTGAATCCAATGTGAATTCTCAAATCTAGCGATTTATGAGCACATGCAATAGTCTTTGATAAGAAGTCCCTCATAACACACAAAGCTACTGGTCAGGCCTCATTTGATGGTCATGGAAGGTTTTAATTTTTTTCATACAAACTTCATATGCACATAACTAATAATTTTTCTGTTACAGAGTATCCTATAATTCCAACCACTCTGTCTTCTGCAAATGCAAGCAATTCTGGTTTGTGTAATTTCATATGTGCAGTTGTAGCAATTGCAACATTTTAATCCTAACTTGCTGTCTCTCCCTTAATGAAGGTCCTATTTACAGGCACTATTCTGTCCTTTGCCTTTTCTTAGCTTTCTGTGATTCCTCCCTCTTTCACTCTAGGTTTGTTCTTTTAACCTTTCTGTAGCTCCTTTGCTACTCTGTTCTTGATTTTGCTGGCTCAATTCTTTGACTTCTCAGATCCTCAAGTTTTCTTTATTTTTCCATCCTCCTCTTTTGGCCAGTCCTCTGCTCTATCCCCACTACTGACCCTTTCTGATCCTTTGCAGAATAGTGGCACGCTTGGTTGTGTTGTCATAGGACCCGCTTGCACTTACGCCACGTATCAAATGGTCTCGTAAGTACCACCTCTTCCCCTAATATTGTGTTCTTAAAAATATCAGTTGCTGAACAAAATTGTTTTGTGTACAAAAAGCCAGCAAAGATGTTTGGGTTAGGATACATCAGACACCTCAAGGTATATAGTCAAGGCAATAAGATTTCTATGCGTAGCCAGTATGTTTGGTAGGGAGAAGAAAAACCCATTCCAAAGCACATTGATGAAATCCCATTGCTAGAAGGGAAACTTTTCTAATTGCTGACTGTAAGTTGATAAACAGCTTAAAAAACTCAACTCTTCAGCAACTGCAGCAGGAAAGAGATATTAGTTAGATGCATGTAAAAATCACAGCACTGCAGCTGTTGGGTCCTTCTGGGTGGATGTTCAGTCACTGAGAGGGGCCGGAGTTATATGTGTCAAGAGAAGATCACAAAACCCCAACCATCTTCAGTAAAGTGTGTTTAGATAGGAAGCAGTCAATTTAACCCCAGCTCCCCTGCCTGAGGAAGCATTCCTGAAGAATGAAATGTCTACTATTATATTATAAATCAACCTCTATGATTCTATTCTATACTATATTATACATTAATATGTTGATTCTCAGATACTAGGAAAAGTATAAGCTGAATCTGCAGACTTGTAGCATAAATCAGTTAAAAAAACTCATCAGTCATAACATACAAATCTGTATCATGTGAATCACCTCCCTTTTTAAACTTTGGTAACCTTTCAGTTTCACTGAGAGATACCGAGAAGATGAGGCACTTCTACCTCAAGCTTTATCTGTTTTTACCTCTATGCTTTTCTTTGAGTGGTATGACCAGAAATTAGTACAATGTTACTGGTGAATGCATGTGATTGATCTATATAAGAATAAAAAGAATAAATCTTATATATATAGGACTGTGGTAAAATACTATGCAATATGCCCTGTTTTATTCATTGTGCCTCCTAGCCTTATATTTGCTTTTCTATCTGCTGGATATGGAGCTGCCCAGAATGGTGCTGAAGTATTTTCCTCTGACTCTGACACAGATAAATCAGCATAAAATATGGGTAGGGGAAGTTTATGCAAAGCAATGAAGGACACTAACAAGCAGGCAGCTGGCTTTTGCCCATGGTGCAATACCTTCGTGAATCAGGACAAGTTCCTTACTTTACAGCACTTTAAGTGTGGGCAGGATGCTGTGGGGAGGGCACTTATGGGCAGTGGGCTGGGAGTGTGCAGAGCCTGCAGCAGCCTGGCTGCTGCCTGTGCTTGGCTGCCACTCTCTGTATTTCATCTTCGTATTTGGTTTGTCAGATGGATATTCAATGACACTGAGTGTTAACTGCAAGAGGTCCATATACACAACATGAGCTGGGATGTGACAGAGCAGCGGAAGTAACAAGCATTTAGAATTAGCCTGACTGTCTACCTCCAACTTGTTCATCATCTGTGATTCAGGGAATCACTGGGCAATTGTTAATGGGATGAAAGTTAACAAATCCAAATTCTGAAAATGTAATTCTTTCCAAATTTAACAATTCTGCACTTAGGACAGAGTAATGCCGGGCACAAGTATAAGCTGGGAGAGGAGTGGCTGGAAATCAGCCCTGCAGAACGGTGTGCTGGTCAACAGCGGGCTCAACAGGAGTCAGCAGTGGTCCCTTGCAGCCCAGAGGGCAAACTGCATCCTGGGGAGGACCAAAGATAGTATAACCAGCTGTTTAAAAGAGGTGATTATCCCGCTGTATTCAGTGTAGCTTCACCTTAAGCAGTTTGCACTTCTGGGCCCAACAATTTCAGAAGGATTTGAAGGTCCCTGAATGCATCCAGAGGAGGCCAACAAAGCTGGTGAAAGGGCGGGAAGGCATGTTCTGCGAGGAGTGGCTGAGGACTTTGGGTTTGTCTGGTTTGGAGAACAGGAGGCTGAGGGGCAACCTCATTGCTCTCTACAGCTTCCTGAGGAGGGGAGGTAGAGGGAGGTGCTGAGCTCTTGTTATTGGTATCCAGTGGTAGGAAGCATGGTAATGGTTCAAAGCTGTGCCAGGAGAGATTTAGATTGGACATTTGGAAGTGTTTCTCTACCAAGACGTTAGTCAAAACACTGGAACAAGCTTCCTAGAGAGATGGTTGATGCCCCAGGCCCATCAGTGTTTAAGAGACAACACAGTTTAGTTTTTGGTCAGCTCTGAATTAGTCAGGCAGTTGGTCTAGATGATGGTTGTAGATCCCTTCCAACTGAAACAGTCTATTCTTTTCTGTTCTAAGTTCAAACATAATAATGTCTTTTTCATTAGTGAAATACTCTCCCTGACATTACTTATTACGTCATCTGTGCCTGTTTCTGTTGCAACAAGCATAAACCCTGTAACTTGTAAGTGTACTTTACCTGGAAAATAAAGTTTTGTTACAATAATGCAAACAACTCTAATAGCCATGTCTTTTGCAGGCAAAATTGCCTGTCTTAAAGAAACACCATACAAGGCCTAAAATATTTTTAATCTAGCCTGATAAGAATGCAGCATCTAGGAAAATACTTTTATCCTTAAAAACTTATTGTCTCTGTGGATAAAAATTACCTTTTACAAATTTCCTGCCAGCAGAGGGTTGCCTTAGTTTTTCTTCCGGTTTGCTGCTGTTGTACAGCTCCTAAAATATGCCATAGTGAAACTAATAGAGTTTTCCTTTGAGTTATAGGGGTAAAGCTTTTTTGATGGCAAAAAGCTGTCACCCTTCAGCACTGCCCCAATAAAAAGATCAAATCCATCCCATGTTAATGGCAGCCAGGGAGCAGAATTGGATGTGTCCTCAAGTCTTTGGACTCCTGTCTCAGCCCTTGGGCTCAAATGGTGCATGGTACCCAAAAGGGCAGGAGAAACTGGGGGAAGTGAGAGAAGCTGCCTGGACCAGTTCAACAGGGCCTTATCGTGACCTCAAATCTTCTTGTGTTCTTGGGAAACCTTCTGTTTCAGGTTAAAATTGCTGTTAAACCAATGCAGGGCACAAGAGAAGAGGGAAATGAGGGTGCAAATCATATGTTAGCTGCTTTGGTGTGACAGGAATCTGTTCAAACTTATTCTCTTGTCTCTTCCTTCAGAGTTGAAACAGTACTGAGCCTGCCCCTGATCTCTGTAGGGAGTTTTGGACTGTCGTGTGACTACAAAGTAAACCTAACACGCCTTCTGACCCCAGCCAGGAAAGTGAATGACTTCTTCTATTATTTTTGGAAAGAATCTCAGCTACCATTCAAAACCATAACCTGGGAATCTGTTTACATTTACAAAAGGAATGAAAACTCGGAGCCATGCCTCTGGTAAGAACGGGATCTATCTCTGATGTGGCTGTTAATAAACTCCATCTCCATCCTTGGATATGGCTTTTACAAGCTGTCCTTTGAGTCCTACTCAAAGGTGCCTTACAGCTATAAGGAATGAGAGAAAGAAAACATGAATTATACCCTTTAGCTGCACTGTGTATCTGAATGTTTCATTTGGACTACTTTCCAGTACGCTCAAGCCTTGGCTTTTGCTGTGGACAGCATAGCCTGTTGTCCCTGCTGGAAATACCTGTTTATTGCATCCTTGATGTAAATAGTGTGACATGAGAGGCTCTCCATAGATGCCTTTTTAGGTCAGGTGTTATCAGTTTCTCGTTACTCTCATAGTTTCTCCACATTAAAGACTTCAATCTATGGACAGTACTGTTACTAAGAAACATTTTCAGAGTTCAAACTGTATCTTTCTTTGAACAAAATGATCTTCAGTGATTGCAGAGTTTAAGCTATGCTCTCACCAGTTTGGAGCAGAGGAGACAGTTTTCGCTTTGTGATCTGACATGTCAGCCTGTACTTGAGTCTCAAGAATGTTGGGTTTTCTGCTTGGCTAAAATCAAAGGCTGTTTTTAGTCAAACAGACTCTTTAATATACTGATATTTATCACTACTTTTCCATTATTGGCTTTTATTCAATTTTCAGCTTGGAGTGTTTCTATACTCTTTTGATTTTTTTTCTTAATTTTGGGACATGAAATACTGATTTAAGTAAAAAAACCCCAAACAAACTAGTTTCTTCTACTAATTCTACAAATGTAGCTCAAAGGCTGCCAAGAATTCATGGAAATAGCTATTATTTATCTTTCCAATTCATAACCTGAGGAACTTGCAGAATATTAAGTTAAATTTATGACTTTTCTTCAGAGTGAGGTAAGCATGTACCTACAGAATGTTTTGTATACAGAATTTGGGTGGTTTTTTTTTTGTTTCTGAATTAAGGGGAATAAAAAACAATTTCCAATTCACTGTTTGTAGATATTTTGGGTCTTTTATTGTTTGATCCTTCTTTTTTAGTCTAGATAGCAACTTAATCAGATAATGCTATGATTACCTCTCTTTGATGCTTTGAAACATCAGTGCACTTCACTTAACTCTTACTACACTTCCTATTTCTCCATGTTTGCAGCTGTAGTTGCTGAATACAGCTACACATACTTTAGCTAAATCCCTTTAATCCTGCAGGCTTCATATCTTTCAAGGAAGTCTATGCTTGTAAATTATTTACCAAGTGTTTCTTACTTGGTCTTCATTAATACTTCTGTTCAGGATCTTGGCTTCAGAATTGTTCACATTCCTTTTCTTTAATGTTGAATTAACAAAAAAATTTTAAATTTAAAATTAATTTTTTACCTCTGCCCATTTTTCATACTAATATAGTTGTAAAAATGCACCTCATTCTGCTTTAATAGAAACTGTCAGCCTGAAAGTTTATGAACTGTCTAATTTAAAAAATCAATTTTTGCTAAAGTACAAGTTATACTGCATGGGCTAATTTTCTTCCCTATATATGTATACGAATAAGTGAATAAGTGAATACCCACAGTGACAGCTAAATCAGGTTATGTCTCAACTATGGATATGTTCCTGTAAATTAATGGGAAGCAAAATATACGTAGTAGTTTATAGGACTGGGATCACAGCGATGCTAAATTAAAAGTTAAGCATTTTTAAAACAAAGGAATTTCTTTTGATTTTCTCTCTGCATTAACTTTATTTCAGACAGAATCTCTCTTCTCAGATACAAAGTGCTGAGCCAAGAATAGGATTTAGGAGTTGGCTGGTTTTGCTTAATCTTTTAGTTAGCTTTTACTTACTTGGTTGTGTTTTTTTGCTGTTCTCACTTTTCCTTTTCAGGGTTTAACTGACTAAGTACAGGGTTTTTTTGTTGCTACTTAACCTTCCTTCACTTCTCTCACAGTCATGGTACATGTGTGTTTTCTACCTCAGTTCTTTCTGCAGCTCCCTTTTACTCCTTTGAACCTTCACATGTGTCTTCTAAGATTACCACTAATGTCTTAAAACAGCAAACCTTCCTTGGTCTGCCTCACAGTCTCACTTACTGTAATTTCCCCATATCCCTGATTTCCTTTCTTAATTGTTAGTGTCTTATTACATCATTTGTACAGCCATGTTCATATACCTCTGGGTGACTTTGGTAACACTTCTAAGTCTTTCATGCCCTGTATTGATTTTCTCTCTTCTATTGCTGCAGAAAAAAAGTATTCCATACTGCCTTACAAACCCTCTTGTGTGCTGTAAACAGCCTATCTCACATTTTGGCTTATTTAGGAGAAAGTGAGGAATTAGCCATTTTCTGACGGTATCTGTGCTCCCTTGTGTCAGGTATATTAATGCACTAGATGCTGGAATCACACTCTTCTCCGAAAAACTGAAGTACAAAGAGATTTTAAGGACTCCAGAGCAGCTCCAAAAAACCGTGAAAGATCCAAACCGAAAAAGCAATGGTAAAAGAAGGGGGGAAGAGGAGACAGGGAGGGGTAGAGGGGGCTGAGGGTGCACTGTTGGTTTCCCAGGTTGATTTTTCCCAGGAAATCAAACGTGTCCCTTTATTACATTTCAGGTATAGGCTTTCCACAGAAATGATGAAGAAAACAGATACACCAATTCACAAGGATGTAAACAAAAAAAGGCACAAAGTTCCTAGATTCCTCTCTCCATCCCCATAAAATATGGGGGGAAATCCTGGTTCCAGAGAGCCTTTGGGGTGAATTATCCCATCTAGGCACAAGATTCAGAAATCCAGGAATCACAACTCCTCCAAAGAAAGGCCTTAGATACTACAAAAATGCTTAACTCCCTAACATTCCTGTGTTTGCAGCCCTGGTACATATATTGATATTGGCCTCAGTTGTGCCATCTAGGGACACTTCTTCTGGAAGTGACCCACCTAAACTAGAAAAATGGCTGAGTAAATACCTCATCTTCTCCCAGGATTAAGCACCTGGCATCAGCAGGCCAGCTGAGTGCAAGAGTAATAGGTAAGCCAATGAAACTATTACTCAAATGCCATTTAACTGAAAAAGGGTCATGTTCAGTAGCCCATATGGCATCAGAACTGCTAATGGTTATCTGAGTGGGAAAACGGTAGTGTTCTGGTGCAATCAGACAGAAAATGGTGCAGGTGTTGAGGCAACTTTTACTACTTTCCCTCAAATATCCCTGTCTTACAGCAGAGAAGCTGTAGCTCTGTGCCTGGGTCGTGGCACAGCACGGGTAATGTGCTCAGCATTGCTCTGCTGCCTTCCACTCAAGCATAGGGGAGCAGGCAAATGTCCTCTTCTTGTCTGTACTTTTCACCAATCTGTCTCCATTTTTGCCCAATCTATAGTGATCATCATGTGTGGCTCTCCAGTTGATGTCAGCACAGACCTAGGGATGGAGGAAGTGGATAAGGACATTGTTATCATCCTGATAGATCTCTTCAAGTAAAGTATCACCTTTGCTTTTCCTCTTCTCTGCAGTTTTCTGAAGGATAGAGATAATGGAAATAGAGTGGAACTGCTTGGTTGAAGTGCTCTCTCACAAAATGTTTTCCATTGCCGTCTTTCCTCATGTCTTGCTATTTATCTAAGCTGCTTAGTGTTCAATTCATGGCACATCCTCTACAACATCCCCTTTAGTGGACATAATATTTTTCTGAGGCAGTGACAGAACAGGTGGGGTTATAATGTCATCCTGTGGACTCATCAGTGCAGGAAGCCATGAGAGAACCAAAAAGTCAGAATGGTCATGAGCTGTTCATATGCGATAATGTATATTTTTCATACACTCTGCCCAACCAGACAATTATGTAAATGTGGCTTACAGTATATTTTTCTAGGCTTCATTCATTCCATTTTAAAATTATTTAAAAGAGTGGTACAACTGTGCCTTCCTCTGTATAACTTGCATTTTATAACTGTCTCTTGAACATCTTTATAACTACATAAATCTAACTTTTCAGAGGCATTTCTTAGTATACAACTGGACTTTTATGTTGTTCAATTTCATCCTTATATTACTAATTACAAAATCTTTATAGATAAAGACTGATGTAAACTGGCCTTATCAATGGTAGCCTCAAAATCTTTGACTGTATATGGGAACCAATCTAATTTCTGGCCCTAAGCCTAAGTGACACAGAACAGCTCACATCCATATGGCTAAGTTACGTGCCCAAGCTGCTTTTTGGGTATGGCTCCCATCACTGTAGCAAGTCACAGTCTGAGAGAAAGCTAGAACAAAACCATGCTCAGGATTATGCTGGCAGCTTAATAGTATGGATGATCACAAGGCAAATGTATGTGTCCATGTCTTGATCTTGCTTATTTCACTGTTGATATGGCAAAAGAACCCCTGAATTTCCAGCACCTGTGGGACTTCCCAGCCCTCTTGTCTAAAGCTGACCTTGACAGGGTAGGGCTGAGGAGCTTTGAATTAATGACTTCAGTCATTTAACCTTTGGATCCAAACTGGAGCCTGTGGTTCAAATTCTAACAGGATCTTCTTTGTCCTGTACATTTTCAACTTCACCATCCATATTTTTCAGAAATGCCTCTAAGAGCTTTAGACTTTCAGCACTTTATTCAGGTACTAGGAATACCCAGTTGCTTTTCCTGAGGCAACTGGACTCAATTCCTGTTTCTTTGCAAATGCACCATGGGGACTACATATGAAAGTGCTTTTACTTACTGATGTTGCCTGTATAATTGTTGCCTCACAGTAGGTGAGAGCAGCTAGGGGCTTCTTGGCTATGGTATGCATCCTTCTGATATACCCAGCTGCCTCAGCTCATTTTATATGCTGTCCTCCTTAAATTTGCTACATACCCCTGATTTTGCTGGGGTAACTCAAATCGTGTTCTTGTTCTTAAAACAGAAGCAAAATACAGACAATGTGTTACATGTAAACTCAAGCTGTAGAAGACAGCAGACAAGGTCACATGCTTCTGCAGGAGGCAAGTCCCTCAGACAAAGTGATGGATTTAAAGTTTCTTCAGCTCTGAGCCCTCTGGAAGCCAGAACACAAAGATAGTGTTTAAACCTCCCTCAGGGGAGGTGAGATGCTGTAGAATTATCCAGTCTGGTGGAATCTAATGAAGCTTCTTTTTCCCCTGACGAGTTCAGTCCAAGCCAGAATGAAGAGCATTTAGAAATTCTTCAGGGTGAAAAGTGCAATGTAAAAGTCAGAAGGTTCAGGGAAAGGTAGGGACAGGACTCTGGTGTCAGGATTCCACTGGCAGCCATGGATCAGAACCTGCGATGTCCAAAAATTCTGAATGAACAAATAAAAGCATGATCAAACATGAAAAATGAGAGAAGGCTCATACATTTATATATATATGTATATTTTTAATGAATCTGGCTATAGCAATGACAGATGCTGCCACTTGTCACTAGTATCTATTGCTAAATTGCTCTGTAACATATGAACCCAGTGGTGGCCAGTCTGCAAAATGCTTCCAGATGGCCTGTCAGGGTGATGAAACAAAAGATGCCTGGAAGCTAGAACCTTTTCTGCTTGTTTTAGCATAGTTTTCCTGGATTTTCCTAGCTTACTGAATTAAACAAATAAATCAATATGCTGCTTTCTGCACCTCTGATTGTTTCAGGCCCTCCCATTAAATGCTTTTAATGCAAATCCTGCTGTGATTTCTAGCAAGAAATACCAACATTAGAGGAACATGCACAGGAGTGCAGAAGAGGTCAGAAACATGTACAATAACATGAAGAAACTACAGGTTGCAGTACTGTGGATTCCAAGAAGAGATTCAGTTTTACTAAAGTCCTGCTTGAAAGAAGAGGAAATAAATAGGACAGAAACCAAACAGTTACAATAATAACAATAATTCACTGCAACCTTTGAGTTTCAAGTTGCCAGATCTTTATGATATTACCTTTTAATGTAGTTAAGCGCAAAAATCGGCATCCGGGCATGAACAACGTAGAGTTTTGTCCATGATGAAATTTAATTTTTAGAACTATTGTTTTAACCTGTTAAGTAACAGTGCTGCTGGGAACAGGAAAGTGATTCTGTCAAGGTTGCCATTGCCCCTGTGGCTGATTGTCTGTGGGGTTCTTGTGATTTGCTTTGCAGTAATATGTACTTCAGGAACAACATCTCAGCCCATTACATGCAGAATGTACTTGTCCTGACTCTGCCACCAGCTAATTACAGCTTGAATACCGTAACGACTGAAGATGCTGTTCTGGTAACTACACTATTTTATATCTGACTAATGCATTCATTTCATTCGTGTTCATGCACTAGGAAATAGAAACTAAAAATGCAGCTGTAATCATACCCCATCATGCTTCTATGCTGATATTTTCTTACATTATCACAGGATGACATTTTGTCCTGCTGTAATGACGTAAAAATGTAGTATCATAAGCAAATGTGCAGGCTCTCATATTCCTGCTTTGTGAAGTTCAACTCAAGCTTTTAATTTGGTCTGCACATGTCATGTTCACTAGGTGTAAGGGAGATCTATAGGTATATGGCCTTCTGACTCCAATTCAGAGTGACTGACAATCTTATATGTAGCTGCAAGGTATCACTGAAGGGAGATTTATAGGTGTAATCAAGATGTGCGCATGGAAAGTTCAGAACTAATAAATGTTGACTGATTTTTGTGTACAGATATGTATAAACAATGGCAACCATTGCTGTTTCTGCCCAAGGGCTTTCCAGTTAAACTTCAAATATAGGATTTGTTGTTGTTTTTCTGTAGGAAATGTGTCTTTTTTTAATTTCCTGGAAAGCAGAAACTGTGCAAATACTGTGTGTGCTTAGTGAAACTGATACCCCTGCCATCTGCCCAGAAACCAGACTCTACATGTAGAATTTCTCCCAGGGTTTGTGGCTTTGACTGCCAGCTCTGCAGTAGGCAGCCTGCACATTTTGGCTGGATTTACAGGGCTTTCAGATCCCCCAGCATGGGCTCAACACTTTCTGGGTGCCAGCTCTATGGCAGGCTGCTGGAAATTCTGGCACATCTCTTTGTCCCTGATCTGTGGCCATCTGGAAGCCCAGACTCGCTGGCGCCACACCAGATTATTTGCACAGAAAGTCCAATCCAAAGCCAGGGACTTTGGGTCCTGCTGAGCAAGCCTACTCACAATCTACAGTGTAGGATTTATTCAGTCCTTTACATGAGGATCAACATGCCACAGCTTTACATTGGCCTTTTACAAGTTTACACCACCTCCCTGTCTTCACACACCAAAAATATATTTGTTTACTTTTATTTTTCTAAGTGAGAACATTGATGTGGGTTTGCCCATCTACTTACTCAGTGTTCAGCAGATTCTGGTCTTCCGTGCTGAAGCTTTTGCCAAAAGAGACCACTACAGATATTGTAGTTTTAAGGTAGACACATGAATACTCAAATTACCATTTTTCTTTTTCTCGTGTTGTAGATGGAAGATGACTTTGTTGCTGGATATTTTAATGCAGTCTTGCTATTTGGACATATTCTGAAGAAATTTATCTCCTCCCAGAGACCAGTGTCATCTCTTAGTTTCATCAACGAATCCCGAAATATCACTTTTGAAGGTAAAAAAAAACAGTCCTGTGTAGGGTTCACTAAATTGATGAAAGGAAATAAATTTGGTTTTAAGCATTCTAACGATAATTCACTTCTACACTAAACAAGTCAAAGCCCTTCAATGAGTTTTATTCCAACCCTTTTTTCTTTTTCTATAATTTTTTTCCAAGGATGTTATCTTCAATATTAGCAGAAGCACTACATAGCAGTTGTGCAGAATCACCTCAGTGTACACAACACAGAAGAGATAGAAAGTCAAAATGACAATTATTTGAAACATTACAATTAGGAACAGACTGAGGACCAGGCTGATTTCTGGGCTTTCCTGATGCTTTGAAGTGCAAAACACATTTAAAGAATGTTGCTGCCTAATGAGGGGTAGGGGAAAGAGAGACAGAGCTTCCCAGCCAGCAGACGTGGAGGACAGGGACCAGGACCAGAAGCTGGCATCATTCTTTTGACAGAGCTGAATTCTCCATAGGGAGGCTATTTGGAGAATGAGAAGGGAGCTGGAAGAGTGAGGCACATAAGTAGGTTTTGGGGTCCATGCTTCCTCCAAAGGCAACCTGGCATTCAAGTTGTTAATTTGCAACAGTAGCATTCCTAAGCATTTCCTAAGGGTCTAGTCTTGACTTGAGGCCAGAACATATGAAATATGATTGAAGTTCAAAATGACATCCACTCAGCCTGCTTTAATGAAATAGTTTCAGCCTTTTCAAGCAGTTTACAAAGGCCTGGGTGCCTGCAGTGAGTGTAAGCCAGCTAGCAATAGGTTGGCTCTTAGTCAACGTTCTTGTTGTTCTCACAGGTTGTCTAGCACCAGTGGGCTTTTGTAGACCACAGGCTTAAAATAACAGAATTTGATTATTAGGAAAAGACAGAGGCAAGACTTAGATAAAGAAGGGACAACATTATGTCTCTGGAGGCAAGGTCCTAGCTGTAACTTCAATTCAGAGATCTGTACCAAAATGATGACTTCATGTTTATGTCCCACCTGCTTCCAGCAAGCACATTTATAGAATTTTCCCAAATTTTCCTAAAATGGCCCAACAGGTTTTAGACTTATCTTTGCTTTAACTATGGTATCCCAAACATATCAAAATACAGTTTACTAATTCCTCCTGGAGACAGCATCCTTTTTTGCTATCAGTAAACTCATCTGTTCAATTTCACTTCAAATTTGAAATGTAAGTTTTACAAACTTTTTTACTTATCCAAAATCAATCTCACACTGTAATGCCCCAGATTAGTTATAGGTTCAATTAAAAAAAAAAAAAAAGGTGTTGAACCTCCTTCATTCTTTCTTGTGCTGGAGGCTGTGAGAGCAGGGAGTCTATACAATAATTATTTTGATATTAAGAAAGTGGACCATAAAAAACTTAGCATCAGTTTTTGAGATGAGAAGGGAGAAGGGTAATTCCTGAACTAAAATAATGGTGCTGAACTTCAAGAAAAATTAAATAAGTCATCAGCAACAGCAGCAAAAAGCAATCTGAAGGTGATCAAAAAGACTCTTCTGACAGAAGAAGAGAAAAAATGAAAGCGAGACTTTCAGGAGTGGTAGGTATTGGCTAAGCTTGTGCGCTTGGTGAAATGACTGGCTCTATGAGAGCAAAATGAAGCCATGCTGAGGGACTTATGAAGTTCCACCTTAAAAATTATTTGGATGTGCTACATAGTCAATTTCTCAATCTGTATATTTGCTGACATACAGACGCAGGAAGTTAAAAGGAGAAAAAATGGTTAAAATAATATTATTAGAACCAAGCAGGTAGCTCTTAAAAGAGTAAGGGGAATGAAAAGTATATTTCCTTTCTTGCTGATAGATCCAAACTGTGCGTGGAAACAGGCAAAATGCCCCTATAAGTGAGGTTACTTGGACATTCTTGGTATGCTGAAGAAACCTGACAAATATATTTTTCTATAGCTAGAGGGACACTTTCCTCTTCAGTGCAGTCAGTTCAACACCTGTTATTGGATTTTGTAGAGAAAATGTAGTATGCTATTATGGCAGAAGAAGCGCTACTCTGAGCTGATATGTATTCTAGCATGTACATGAAGAAGATGAATACCCTGAGCATCAGAAATCCTTTTATTTATCCCATCCTTCTTGTTGCATACTTGTGTTTCTGAGAAAGCAGACCCTCTGACTAATTCCTTGTGTCTGCAGGTGTTCTGGGTCCTGTGACTCTAGATGAATTTGGAGACATTGATACAAATCTGACGCTGCTGTACACATCACAGACTGCAAATCATGTATGTATGTCCAGGGAGCAACTCTTTGACCTTATATGTGAAAGGAGAAACAAAATGCCCTGTACTATTGCATAAGAATGATGAAAATAACCACAACAGAAGCGGTGGCATGCCAAGGCATGCTGTACATGCCAGGAGGGGGTCATGAGGTGTGCTGGAGACTAACAGGGTTGATGTCGTCTGGTGTTTCAATAAGTGAAGTGCAGTTGGTGCTTTGTGGGAATGATACATTTCTTTGCAGAGAGAGGGGGTGAATGAGGAAGAATATGGCAGCTAAAAATATGGCTAAGCTGAGGAATGCACTACTGTAGCAGAAAGTGCAAGAATTATTTGAGTTTGGGCAATGCACTTATTAATGGTAGTTTGAATCAAGGGACAAAAGAAGGAGAGCACATCTGCTGACTGCATTTCTTCCCTCCCACACCCATAGTTCAAAACTCTTCTATATTTCAACACTCACAACAACGAGACACACATGGAGACTGCCAGTCCTGATTTTGTCTGGAAGAACCACAAGCTGCCCAGTGATACTCCAAGCACTGGTGAGATACCCATTAAACCTACCTCTTAGAAGACAACTCAAACAGTCCTGAGATCCACCTGCTGTGAACCCAGCACGCTACCTTCACACCTCCCCCAGCCAGTGATGGGAGGAGCTGAGGGCGGAACAGCATGTTTCCTATCCCTGCTCCAGACTCCCGTGTTCTCTGCATCCAGCTCAGTTCTAAATCTGCATTTCTGCTTAGGTGCTGCTACGAAGTCTCTTTGTAGACTCCGTACTGTACTAGTGATTGCGGGGAACACCATGGTGTGTTTTGGAAGACGTTACCCCTGAACATATTAACCTTAATTGGAAAATGGTGATGGTGTGAATTGCCTTAAAGACTGTTAAGGAAAGGCAGCAGAGTTAAGGTTATGATGAGTTATCTGATTCTGCATTGCAGCATGGTGGCTTCTGCTTGCCCCTTTATCCTTGTTGAGGAGAGTTCACAGCACTGTGCAGATTCAGGGTGCTTCTCTGGAGGGGTCTGTTAGAAGTGCTGGTGCTTTGCAAAAAGACAATGGGAAACTACACTCTGTCTACACTCAGACTTCAAATCTGAAATCCCAGAAATCACCACTTCTTCTTTTGAGTTTTTGGTGACTCCTGGATAGAATGGATGAACCCTCTAGTTATTCAGCACAACAGAGTACAACCTTGTCAGTCTGATCAGATTGAGATTATTTCCCCAATTAAACTGCTGCCACATAGTTATTGGCAGTGGAAAGGTATATGATTCAGGGTATGATCTGCAGGATAAAAATTACTGCAGTAATTTTTGCAAGGGCTAGTGCATGCTGGGTTAGCATTCACTTGAGTCATTCCCATCAGTGAAATGTCCAAAGATGCCACTGTTAAAGTTCTCTGCTAAAGGCCTCCATTAGTTTGCTGTATTGCTTACCTCTGTTAGGGAATAGGTAAAGCAATAACTGGAGAAATAAATACTCTCTGCTAAGAGTCCATTCACAGTAGGGTGGTACATGATTTCAAACATGTTTATTCCTCAGTAAAGTGAATCAGATGTCTTCAGATTAGGGTTTACCCCTCCTAAGAGAAGCAGGAGTTCATTGCCAGGGACACATGAGAAGCAGGTAGCAACACTGACAAGACTCTAGTTAGATAGCTCTGGAAAAGCAGAGGGAGTTCAGTGAAGCTTTTACTTTTCAAATCTGGTCAAATCTATAGTCTTCCTTGGTATGCCCAAGAGTTCTACTTGTGCAGAGACAGGAAATGCTGCAAAGGTCAAGGACAGGGTGTCCCTGCAGCTCCCCAGGCTATGTGTTGCCTGTTTGCACTCTTCTCAGTGTTGCTCCAGTACCCTCCTCACCCATCCCTTGGGCCCCACAACATGCCATGTTGTCAGTGGATCTTTGTATCTTTAAAACATCCCCTTGAGTGTGTCCTTGTTTGAAGCTGTTGTACAAGGGCAAAAGGAAAATGGGAATTGCCGAAAGCCAGTGTCTACAGACCATTAGCTTAACATTCTGCACTTAATGTAGGCCTGATTTTGTGGCCAAGCTATACTAAACCAAAGTAAAACCACCTCCCACAGGCACTTGATCATTTTGTTTTCACATTTTTGAAAATAAACCTTCATTTAGTGTGAGTTTAAATAAATACATTCCCCCAGAGGTCAACTTTTTACAGGCAAAGTTTAAGCAATCTCTATGCTTTGCCAAAGCCAGTCAAAACTTTCCAACCAGAAATATGCTTTTTCCTCCAGGGAGGTGAACAGACAGCAACCAGAGCCCTGCTTCTTCCTGTGTTGTAATTGAGAACAGCTGACCCAGTTCTGCTACCCTCCTTCCTCCTGGCACCCCATAAAGAAACGGTCTTCATCCACATTTTCTCATTACTTAGAAAATTTTAACCCTTGCTCTAAACATGGATAAGGTCAGCCATCATATTACACAAAGGTTTCTGGTTCCAGAGGACCCGAGAGTAGTTAATTTATGATGCACTCTCCCTTTGTATGCTGTAATACTAAAAGCCAGGTGGTGGTAGCAGAGCCTCAGGAATGGGAAATTGTGGTCCCACCACACCTCCAGGGGAAAATACAACCTGCTGATTGTTAAACAGAAAACCACGATCACACAACTTAAGTTTTAAAGAATTCGTATGAAATGCACATTCTCATACTTTGTACATTCTCATGTATCTGTCCTTTTTTTAGTGGTGACTTACTGTCATTTCTTGGTGGAGGGAAACATTCGTACTGACAGTTTCCAATGGAGCATCAGACTAATATTAAGTTGCTAAGAGACCCTCAGACTGATGCTGGGATGAACATACAGAACGAAGGTGGGGAGACATGATACACAAGACAAGAAAAATGAAAGCCAGAAAGCTGGGTCCAAATCGCAGAGGAGTTCTATAACTGAATTCTATGTCAGATGAAGACACATTGGTATACTGAAAATCCTTGCTCAGTCGCTGCCTGATTCTGAGGGCAGCTACTCTGTGTCATGTTGCTTTTTATGTATTTATCAATTTTTACACTTTATCATTTTTCTGTGTGCCTTTATTTCTGTTTCTAAGAACAGGCAGAAGTGCATTAGCCCCTAAGACCGAGTAGCTCCACACTTTTACTATCCATAACCTATATGGCAATCTGACAAAAACCAGATTTGCCTCTGTCTTCTTTCCCTGAGAGACTTGCTCAGTAGAGTAGGCACACTCTAGATGTGTGGCCACCAGATGAAGCTCTGCACTAATGGCCTGTTGCTCTTCAAAGGAACTTGCTGGCTGCTATTTTCCTTCCCAGTACAGCTGAGCTCCAAGAACTGACCCAAAACAGGCTTCAGGTTGCTTTTCCACATTTAGACAATCAAAATGACAACCTTAAATAGTCAGTTCCCAGCCTTGTCTGTCCTGCCTGCCTGCTCAGGATTAGGACACTCGTGCTCTGTGGTTTTGGGTCTAAGTCCTCAGATGCCTGAACAGCCTGATTTTCAAATTGTTTGGCACCTGGCAGCTTCCAAGGACTTTACTAGCTTTGTGCTGTCACCAGATTAATTTCCCTCTATAATGTATGAATTTTTTATTGAAGAGTACAGTCCACTCAGCAGCACTTGTCTTCCTTGTTCAGAAATTAATTCACAGTCTCCAAAGGTCTGCCTACAACTACTGTAGAATAACTTTAAACAACTGGCCCAATAAGGCCCAGTGAAATGTGGGAAATGTTAAAAGCTGTACCGTGCCAGTGACTCTGATTTCAAATGGCCAACTGCTTACCCCATCGACATCTGATTGCACAGAGAATTGTATCCAAGGTTTGCCTCCACCAGCCACTCTTATGAAGTTATTGCAAAGAGAATTTTGGCTGCTTCATTTTTTAAAATGTAGTTACTGAGAAAAGTAACCTTCTAGTTTGTTTTTAAAGAAAACACCTGGAAACTGCTGCTGGGTTGATGTGAGATTTAGTGCTGTTAAATTCACCTCCCATCTGGGTGTCCTTACAGAGAGCCCATGCCTTAGGCAGGGATTTAAGACTGCACTGCTCCAGGTTGTGCTTCATCCTGCACATGCCATCTTTAGGCAGTGCTGGAATTTACCAAAGCCTCTCAATTTGGATGTAACCAAAGAATATGCATCTCACGTACTGTGACTTGCACGTGTGTGGGTGAGCGTAATTTCTTAAGTATAATACTGGTTTTCAGCATCCTCTGTCAAGTTGTTTATTTTTCAATTTTCTTTTCGCAGGCCCACACATCTTGACTATTGCTGTTTTTACACTCACAGGAATTGTGATTCTGGTTCTGATCATCTCTTTGCTGATTCTAAGGTACCAATGCCTTTGGCCTGGAGTTTGTCCTTGAACGGTTTTCCTCCTAGGGCATTGCCTTTGATCTCTTCTGAAGAAACATTAATTAGCTTACCTGGTGGCTGCCCTCAGTGTGAACTCTTTAGTATATGCTAATCAGTGTTTGCATCCATAGTGTTGTTATGTCAGGTTAATAATCACCGGAGAAGATGCAGCAAGGATCAGAAGTTTTGCACCTGCTAAAAAGTTCTGATTCCTATACATGCACAAAAACATACAACTCAGTCCAGTCTTCAGAGTTTTTCCACTTTACTGCCCATCTTTAGCTTAGTTGGATTCATTTATGTTTCTTTAGTCTATTGGTCACATAAAAGTTCAATCTAGAAAGACGTATTTGTCTTGAGTCATTGTAGGAGTCAAAACACCATGATGTTTCGGTGGTTTCATTGCATGGATACATCCTGTCTTTCGGTTTCCTCTGACTCAGTTCAGCTCCTCTCACACCAACTTCATTAACAGCTAGAATTTAATGAGTATAACCCAATTCAGCATTATCATGATGGAAAAAGCAGAAATAGAAACCAGTGATGTGTCCTTTTGCTGGAAGAAATGCCACCCCCTTTCCAAAGCATATGGTTTTCTTTCATTCTTTAAAAAAAAACAGATCTTGCTGCAATTATTGGTCTTCTTTTTCTTATATATGTGTATGTTAAAATATATTGGAAAAGTGAAGATTTGGTTTATTAGTCAATACCACCCATGCTCCTGTTTAGAGCATTTCCCAGCAGTCATCACTGTGTTAGGATTCTCCTGCAGTCTCTCCAGTCAGTCTTGTGTTGGTTTTTTTACTAGAGGAAAGATTTGCACAAATAAGCAGAGAATTTGATGAGTACTCATTTTCCCTAAGAGAAGACAGTGTCTGCTCTGAAGTTCTGCAAAGGAGACAGCAGATTCTTTCTGCCTGTTCTGAGGGCTCTTCCCTCATTTCTGCAAAATGTGCAGAACACAGGCCACCCACAAAAAGGCAACTAATCTCAACGCTTTTGTTACCTCCTCTCCTGGCACGGTATTCACATCAGTTCTTACCATCTAGTGTTGATGGCAGGACTTTGTTTGTCTTGTGTTTGTTTGTGGGACCTCCCTTCAGAGTACATTCAATAACACGGAGGAAAAAGTACATAAAATCCAGACGGCCCTTTGTACTTTAAATTGGTCTGACATGCCTTAAGAGTCTGGCAGTTGCCTGGAAGTTTTCTGCTAAATCTGTTCCGTTATATCTATGCAATTGAATGAGTATTTAGGCTTTTCCAAAGCCAGGGGAATTAGAGCAGCCTTAAAATGGAAAACTGTAGAAAAGGCCATGGGGCTCGTGCTCAAGCTTTGCTACCCTGACACGCCATCCTTGTGTCACCCTGACACTAGAAGCTTCATGTCCTAATCTTCTGTTCTGGATAGGATATTCTGGAAGGTTATTCTGAACGAGTTTGCTCGTTTTGCAGGAAATACAGGAGAGACAATGAGCTCCGGTGGAAGAAATGGTCCCATATACCACCTGAGAAAATCTTGCCTCTGGAAACCAGTGAGACAAGTCACGTTAGTTTGAAGGTAGGAAAAGCACAATGCCCAAAGCTGGGTTGTGGTTTCTTTCTTCTAAAGACCATTGATGCTGGAGTGTTGGCATGCTCTGACTACAGTGCAGGCTATGGCTCTGGTTGAACTAGGATCTGTTAAATGTTTGGGGGTTTTAAAGTGTTTTTTTAACCCTCACTTGCTGTATTGAATTAAAAAAGGAGATTATTCCCCATCTATCACCCCCTAATACAATATATCTGTTCTGCAGCAGTAAAGTTCATTTTGTGATGGCAGAATGGGCTGGGTATGGATTTCCAGTCTCTTCCTGTTACAGATGATATCCCTGTGTGTTGTTACGCCTCTGTAACGCCCAAGAGCATGAAAGCAGCATGTGGAGGCCTAGCCAACTGTGGGAGTGGCAAGGATGTCCCATGCTTTTGTGTCATGTAGTGACCCTCCCAGAGAGGCTTATGCTTCCCTGTACAGCACACACTGACATTACTTACCTCTCAGGACCTGCCAAATGGGAAGTAGGTGATAATTGCAAGTTAATTATTCTTTATTCTCAGATCGATGACGATAAGAGACGTGACACCACCCAGAGACTGCGCCAAGGCAAATATGACAAGAAGGTAACCTGACTGCAGTGTCCACACTGTCTTCCTTGGCTTAAGAGGGCTCTTTCTGGGAAGTGGTTGTCCCTCTCCAGAAAAAATTCCACCTCCCCTGACCTTGCAAAATAGCTTGATCTTATGGAAGGAATGAGCTATTTGTTCCCTATCAGGTGCTTTGCATCTTGCTTACTGATGGGAGGCAAAATACTAGACTCCATGAACCCCTAGCCTAGTCCAGAAGGACAGAAGCAGAATGACCAGAAATCTGATGCATTTTGTTACTGAGGAGATTAACAGATTAATGGAGGACAGGCTATTTACATGGCAATTCTTGTACATCCAGTGAAGCTGTCAGCCTGAATCAGGTATACTCATATTAAGATAAAATCTGCATCATTGACAGGTCTAAATAGTTCCTGTCTGCCTGGTAAATCTTTTGAAGGGAATATAACTCAGTTACTTATTAGCTGATTAACCTGACTAACCAAAATTCCAACAGCAAAGCAGTAGGCAGGTGTTTCTGTAATATTTCTGTGTATGGACATATACTAGAAAAGAAGGATGAATTGCTGTTGTACTAAACCTATGGGTGTTTTTTTTTCCTGCTGGTATTTTTTCTTCAGGTGGTGATCTTAAAGGATCTCAAAAACAGTGATGGTAATTTCTCAGAGAAGCAAAAAATAGAACTGAACAAGGTAACTGTTGCACGTAGCAACTGGACACTGCAGGGTGGGATGGAGCCTATGAATGAAGTCATTGCTTTCCATTGTCAACAGCCATATGCGACAGCCATATGCTTTCTCATGTTTGAGGTGGATGGGTAATAAGTTCCTCAAAGGATATTGCTTGATGAACTTTCTCTTTGTGTGTGTGATCTCATCACCAGTGCAGAATCTGAATTGTATGCCAGTGAAGCTGAAGTAATTCATGCTCTGTCATATGGCCTTGCTAAATACATTTTTGCAGCTGATGCTAAAAGTCAGTGCACTCTTTTTGCTCATATCATGATGATTAGTAGTGGAATGCTGTAGTTAAATCTTATGACTGAATGCCAAGTGCAGCTCTTTAAATACAAGTAACTCTGCTAACTTGTGCATACAGACTCTTCCAACATGAGATACGAATTTGGCTGCATTACTGCATCTTTTTTTGAGAATTTTTCCTTTTTACACAACACAGCTATAGTCTGGATTCAATAAGCTCTAAAAATACCTCAAAGTAAAATAGAGTTGTCTATAAAAATGGACAAAGTGCATAATATCATGCAGTGTCATTAAATTTTTATTACTTGCTCATTTACTGACTGATTCACAATATTCTGTCACTCATAATAGCTATTGTGGTCAACTGGGAGGTTTGAGTAGGGAGCCAATAATGGAGAGAACAGTGGGCTCTGGAATTAACTTGCAGTATCCAAAAGCAGCCACTCTTATCTCCCTAATCCAGAAGGCTCTGGAATGACAGATGTCTTCAAGCACTTCACTCAGTGCCTTAGTATACACTAGTTTAAATGAAACTCATAAATCTTATCAGGCCTGTGATAAAAAGCCATGTCACAGAAGTATCATTGACCTGTGTTTCTGTACTAACAATGATTGCTTTTAAAAATAGATGCATTGTTTTTCCTCTAGCTCCTACAGATTGATTATTACAACCTGACGAAGTTCTATGGCACAGTGAAGATAGACACCATGATCTTTGGGGTGATTGAATACTGCGAAAGAGGTTCTCTGCGGGTAAAGGATTTTGCAGGTCTCCTTCCACCCCCAAATTACATAATTTCAAGTAAGGAAGAAAATCCCCATCTCCATGTCTCCGGCCCTCATGCAGCAGCCATGGACTGAGCAAATGGTGGCAGGTTTCTGACTCCAAGTTTCCTCTCCGTTGCTCAGTTCTCTCCAGCCTTCCTCAGGTGCTGCTCCTGCTGCTGTCAGTTTGATGGTTCTCAGCAGCCAAAGGATGAAGTGAGGTGCAAGCAAGAAATAGTGTAGGCAGAGCACTTCCCAAACAACAGCAACAGCCAGTATTTGTATTGTGTCCCCTAATGCAAGCATTTAGGATATTACCTTTTTTTTATTTTCCTAGCTGTAGCCATTGTCTCTGATGATGCCCTTGTGGACCCCACAGTGGCCCCAGGTGTGAAAGAATAGAGAAAAGAATATATTCCATAGTAATAAGGGTCAAAGAGTTTGAGGCTGGAATTTGGCAAATCCTGTCCATAGGGGACAACAACCCTTAATTTTTGTTTATTAAAAAAATGGTAAACTCATTACTGGCAAAAGTTATGGAAAGATTTATGGTTTATTACTACCAATATTATTTCAGTGTTAATCATTAAGTAATGGTGGCACTAGCTCTTCTGCAGGCACACATTGTTTCTACATCTGAGTTCATACAAAGACTCTCATCAGTAGCAATGGTCTCTGGAACAAACTCACAGTAAAGCAGCAGAACAACAGCTCTATCTCTAGTTCTTTTCTTGTAAACTGGCTTACTCATGGAGGTTTACTTTTAGCAATGGGAACCATAGTGGCTGGGAGAGCTGTAAATAACTGACACTTAAAGAAACAGTCTACTTAAAACTTATAAGGCCATAAGTAAATTGACAGGAAATGGACTGTGAGCACAAAGCACAGAAATTCTTCTGCCCTCCTCTTGCATTCCTTGCCCATTTCTGTCTCAGCTATTTTACTTTATTAAAGACTTGGCTTTAAGAGAAAATTCACAATTTACCTTTAATGATACAAAACACTCTTTTCTGGTTTCCCCACTTTTCTAGCTGTGCGTAAGCCTAAAATATATTTGATATCCTCTGTTTTGAGTCATCTCCTGCTGTAATGCATGTACTCCTTATAAAAAATGAAGGACTCTCTCTTTCAGTCACTGGTTGAAAGGCTGTGCAATTTAGGTACTCATATCTCATCTTGTGCTTTTTCCCTGATGTAGATTAGAACCATTCATTTCTTCTCTTGACAGGACGTTTTAAATGATAAAATCTCTTACCCTGATGGCACGTTCATGGACTGGGAATTTAAAATCTCTGTCATGTATGATATTGCCAAGGTAAGCGGGCTGCTGACAGTGCAATGTTGATCAACCTGTCCTGTCTTGCAAAACTGATCCTTTGGAGAAAGGCAGCACTCAAGGTCTTCTTTCCTCATTAGAGCTGTATGCCCTTCCACTCTTTCTTCCTCTGGGAACCGGTATAAGAGGCAGGAGGGGCCAGTGGCTCTCAAAGTGGAGGTACAAAGGGCTAAAGCTGGCTTTGGGTACTTATAAATAATCAAATAAAGTACGTCCCAAATAAATGTGACCCAAAGATCAGAGGGTTACAAGGTTACAACCTGTTTATCAGTGCCCCTGATTAGTAGGGCTTTTGCAGTCGCAAGACCTGCAAAACACACTGCTCTCTGGCTTCAGGGAAGGCATACAAAGGAAAACAGTTGTTTTTCAAATGATGGAATTATTCTGATTTGTATCTAGAAATGGGATCAACTTTTTCTAAACAGTTTATTTTACATCCTAATTTTCTCACTCACTAGAGTGAGAAATTCCAGTTTCTCACTAGAGCTATCAATTTCAGGCAGTTTAAAAGGGAAGAAATTAATCTTATACAGAAACCAAGATTGTTTTTCAGTAGCTTTCAGCACATCTTTGCATTTTATGCTTGGTAAAGGAAATTCTCTTCTACATTCAGTCTTGTATCTGTTTAGCTGGTAGGTAAGGATCCTTTATAATTCACAGGTATAATAATTAATTATACCTCTGCAGGTAATATAGAGGATTACCTCTGCTTTTTTGCTAGTGTTCAGCTGCTCTCCTCTTCCTATTGCTGGTTTGCAGTTGGACAGTCCTCTCATTTCCCTACATGCATCAGTTCAGATTTGGTCTCCACACTGAATGACTCCACTGTGTTTGCTCTAAAGAGATACTGAAAATCTTGCTCTTTATTAAAGCCCCCTTAATCCAAATTGTCACAGTTTGTTGGCCTTGTTAATGACTTTCAAGTTCAGTTAATGTTTAGCATTAAGTTTCATTTTAATAGTAGTGGTGGAGTTTCCCTTCCTTTTTAAAGCATATAAAACACCCAGAGTATTTTTAACCTTTTGCAGTTCACCTTCAGATGTTTCTATTCCTTGGTAAGTGGGTTAGACAGAGGGAAAGCCCTAAATCTGCTCTGTTTCCAATTTTCTCCTTGGTTTTGCAGTCTTTGTTCTCTTTAGGTCTTATGGCATCACGTAGCTACATGGATTTAGCTACATGTGACCAAAGAGCTCTGATGAAAGGTCTGCTAAGGATGAATTGCATAAATTGAGCCTTGCAGTTATTAGTGCATACACTGTTGTTGTGACACTATTAAATAAAGGGCTCTGCAGGATATTGTGCAAGGAATTGTAATATTTTTGCATTGTGTCAGGAAAAGGGTTCTCAGTCAGAACTAAAGCTTCAGAGCAGAGGTTACAAAAGTGTCTCAACGATTTAGAAGTACCACATTGAAAGTCATTATAGACTTTGAAAATCACATTGTTAATGATATTGATTCTTAATAAGCTCCGTGTTTTCAGGTGTGCAGGATAGTTGGAAGGAAAAAGGAAAATTTTATCAGGCACAGATATAAGACTTCTGCCTCCAGAAACTGTTAACAAGAAAGCACTGGTATAAGGAAATTGAAATCAGCTTTGCCTGCCATTTGATGCTGAAACTGATTGGGAATTCTGCTGTAGCAATCAATGTATTTCCTGGCTGATGAAAGCAGGAGCTGGAAGAAGGCACATCTGGAGGAAATAAGACCTAAGCAGGCAAAAACAGCAAAACATCCTGGATAGTGTCATCAGGGCTGCATAATAAAGCTGCTTAATCAAGAAATGTGTTCCTTTGATATAGCCTGTACACAGACTCTCTAAATTTTGGCATGGTTTAGATATGTCCAGGATAACCAATCCAACAGCATTCCCCAAAGATTGCATCTCTTGCAGGCTTCTTGTGTCTCAGACATACATCTACTGTGCCCAAACCTCTGCTGTTATCTTAGCGATCTCTTGCAGCATTTGCTGATCTGTTCCCAATTACGAGTACCCCATCTTTGGGGAGAAACCCAGCATGTCATACAGTGTATTCATGATCACGTGGGCTATGTATCCAGGATTAAAGTCTATCTAAAAGTTATCATATAAGAGGAGGAGCTATAAATGTAGGAGTCTAAGTGGAAGACAGTTCAGAGAAGAAACTAAACAGATATGACATACCTGTTCTGGCTTTCATAGAATATCGATTCTGCTTTGTATACTGAGTTAAAGGAGGAGTACTATAGGAAGAAAAACTACCAGCAGTAGACTTTAAGTAGGTGTGAACTTAGGTAGTTAAGAAGAGAGAGATGAAACAGAATAAATAGTAGCAAGAGGGTGCAAATTAGCATACCAGCTCCCATCAGTTTACACCCACTTGCTAATGTTCCTTTCCTGCTCTGCCTCAGTGCTGGCCCCTTCTCATGTATTGCACAATATCTGAGTGTCTTAGACTAAATGAGATAAATTCAGGGGTGATGAGTGAAAAGGAGCAAACTGCACACCTTTGTATGCCTGTGTGTGTAGTGAGTCAAGAGTCTGAATCTCAGGAAATATAGCTGAAAATGCATCAGCCAGTCCTCATGGTGCCCACTTCAGAGTTTAGCTCATGGATGGCTGATATATATTGACTAGTATAGGGAAAACCATAATCAGTCAGGTCAGAAGATTCTGATTGTGATTGTCTAATCTAATCTTCTGCCTTATACAGCCTTAGTGCATCATCTAACACCGCATTGACCTGTCCCTAGCTCTCTGCTTTGCAGAAGAGGATCTGCTGCAATGTTTCTGAATTAAACCTCTGGTGTATGGTAATCTTCAAAGATAATGCAGACATAAAGTGCAATTCCTCTCACACCTGTGGTTTTCACTGGATGAACATGGAGTTGGAAGCACTTTTCTTTGGTGTGATATTCTAACAAATCTGTACTAAATTTACCAAAAAAGTATTTATTGAAAAACTTCTGTGGGAGGAAATAATTTTTCCTAATTGCTTATTTGTGCTCTAATCTTACCAAAACCCAAGATGCCATGTCAGGCTTTTGTTCATTAAAAGGAAGGATTGTCTTGCATGGCATCATCCTTCTAATGATCATCCTCTCATTTTGGAAAGTATCTTAAGTAAAACAATATTTGTTTCCCTCCATGATGGGGAATTGTGATTTATGTGTATCCATTGCCATTGAAGGCCATTTAATTACTTGGACAGATATTACACTAGTACTTCACATTCTTGTTGAGTCTCCTAACAGCTGAGTGTCTCACATGTAGTCTTGCTTTCTTCCTCTTTTATCATCAATCACAGGGGATGTCTTACCTGCACTCGAGCAAAACTGAAGTCCATGGTAGACTCAAATCCACAAACTGTGTAGTAGACAATCGCATGGTAGTGAAGATCACTGATTTTGGCTGTAATTCTATTCTGCCTCCAAGAAAAGGTAAAAACAGTACCCAATTAGACTTTCTTTCATGATTTCCAACCCAGGGAATTTTCTTATATTAGAAGTCCTGTAGGGTCTAATTACATCTTGTACAGAGTAAAAAACATATATGATTTTGTTTCTTGTAGCAGCTGTCACACCAAGGCTATCTGAAAACACTGTCTTGTCTTAACACAATGAGAGAATTATTAGCAGGTAGAGAAAGAAATTAGGCAGTGTATGTGAGAAGGAAAGGAAAGATTAATTTTCAACTTATAGTTTAGAAAACAGAGAATTCACATGTGGCTGAGATACAAGAAACGTTTTCAGCATTCAAGGCCTTCATGCAAACAGCTCTCTTCAGCAGTAATGCTGAACTGGTGTGAAAAAAAAAAGAGTTAAGTGCCCCATGGCCTTGTCATTGATCAGATACATGTTACCACAGTGCTCTGTAATTTCATTTAAATATTAACACTCATGACTGATCATCCTTTAAAAAATCTGTAATGATATGCAGTAATAACCTTAATGTCTTTCATTCTTTAGGTTGGAATCTAGCAATATGTGCTTGATCAGACTGGAATAATTTTAACAACTTTTCTTTGCATTTTCTATTCATCTCATATTCGTTGGACATTTCTGTAAAATAGAGCACTCCTTCCTACTCATCTTTTCCTTCTTACTTGACCTTGAGTGAAAAGATGAGCCCATCTGAAATGACGTAATCTCAATCTGTATAGTAGACCTTGGGGTATAATGAGCACAGCATTATGCCACAACTGCTGTATATGACCTGAGAAGAAACTGTGGTTGCAACTAGGTTGAGAGAAATTTTCACATTCAGACATAAACATGCTCAGGAGTAGCAATGAGAACATAAAAAGGAGTAAGAAAAGTGCAGTGAATGTAAGTGCTCTATTCATTCTTTATTTTACAATTTTAATATTTAAATTTATATTTATTACATTGTGATGTATTTATCGTTTTTCATTGCTTGTAAGCATCCTCAAACTTTTGGGCTACTAGATTTCTTTTCCTGAAGAATTAATGTTTCACAAGAGATCTACAGATTCATCGTGGCTGGGTGTTTCAGGCTGATATCATAACATTGTATTCAGTGTCACTATGTTCAGGTCACTATTACATCACCAGCATGTCGTAACAAATTGTCATATCATGGCAGCATTCAGGTTTTGAGGTACAGTGGCAGTTGTTGCACTAGAAATACAGATTAATAATTTCTGTAGCAAGAAAGTGGTTATGAGGAGGAAATATTATGTCAGGCTCAAAAGCACTTGCAAGTTATTTCAACAGATTTATGTTATCAAGGCCGCTGGGAAATATTATAGTCTTCTCATCTGACATCTTGTATAACAAACTCTATGCATCTATACCAGTGGGCTCTGGGATTGACCTGGAAAGACTAAAAGGAAATACCACTGTAGCAAACGGATGCTCTGAGAAGGATCACTCTTTTTCAACTACTTATCTCACTTCCCTCTTTACCTTATCGCCCATTATCATCGGGATCTTCAGACCTGTGGACAGCTCCTGAGCATCTCCGTCATGCTGATGTATCTCAGAAGGGTGATGTGTACAGCTATGGGATCATTGCCCAAGAAATTATTCTACGCAGGGAGACCTTCTACACCAGACACTGCTGGGACAACAAAGGTAAATCCACAGATTTCTCCTTCATTGCAGGCTTCTGGGATGATGTAGCTGTAACTGGCCTGTTCTAAATGTTTTGTGAAAAGCACTGTCTCTGATAGCTGCTTGAACTGCTGCTTCTTTCACTATGTGGTAATTGAAGAGCTTGCTTGAAGGATCTCACTGTGGGGGCAAGCGTCCTTATTCTTCCTAGAAATCAAGTTTGCATTGAGTTTTCTTGCCCTTTCTCCTCCTTTCTCACCTTGGCTACAGCTTTACAAAAATTAACATTATAGAATGCTGTTCAGGCTTACTCTAACATTTAAAGGCCACAAAGGTTTTTCTGTTATAAACTGTGCACAACATATAATAATTCACTCATATTAGGCATTGTAAATCAGCAATGCCATCACAGAACAGCAAAAAGTCAGCAGCAGGAACAGTTGGCGTTTAAAAACCGGCAATTCAGACTTCCTTCAAAAAATTAACTTCAGTCATTTAACTTCTGTCAGAAAAAGCATCTCCTCCTGTACTGCATCCATTAAACCCCATTTTGTGAATTTTATGACAATGTTTTTGAGTGGTTAATGGCTTAGTCAATCCCAGTTCCCAGAATCCAGAACTAGGTATACTAGAACTGACATAAAAGCATGTGTGGGTTTGAGATTTTCCTGGTGACAGTTACCAACAACAAGTTTAGACATTGCCTTTACCTCTGAGTCATTCTGATAGATCCGCCTCACATTTGTTAAAACATCTAGAGCAGCAGCTGGACAGCCTAATAGCTCTTTTCCTGAATTATATTTAGGAATAACTTCTGAGGCACATTCATCATCCTGCATTATCACAACTTTGTGTTCATATTTGGAGAAACACAGTATTTCACATCACCAACTCTTTAATAGAAATGTAGACCTAAGAGATATTAGAAATGCCTGTCCCCCTTCAAGCAAACTCTTCAGGACTCCATGCTTAAGATAAAGCAGAGAAAATAAAAGTTTCTATTCCTTTTTCTTGGGAAGAGGTAGGCACAATCCTCATGAATGCAAGGACTTTACAAGTATCATAGATGGAGAAAGGAAAGAGCAATGCTCTTCCTTGCTCATTTTGACTTGCAAAGTCTTCTGATGGCTTGACTTCACGAACAAAGATTTGGGAAGGGCTTTACCCACGCTTTTGCAAGTGTGAGTAAACCCTTCAGGCCTGTGCAGTGGATTTTTTAGGTGAGGCACAGCGTGCGCGGAACTGGCCCCACCCTTTACACCTGAGGCTTATCTTCCAGGGCCTAGCGAGCTTGGATGGTGACAGCAAAGTCCTCAGATCGTGAGTTTGGTTAGAGTGTCATTCTCTTAGATGGATGGCCTTACAAGGCTAGACGAGCTCCATCTGCCCGGGTTTGAAGTTAGAGTTGTCCTTCTCCTAGGATGGTTGCCCGAAGGCTAGTGAGCCCATCCTACCCATGGACACACTTCGTCTGACCCTTCAGTTGAGACCTATCTGGCATGGGAGACCCTACCAGAGGCATATGCCACCACCAGCATAGCTTTCAACCTCACAAGGGCATGCAAGCTTTTTCCCCACAACAAGGGGGTGTCTGTGAAAGAGACTTGCAAAGTAAATTCATGACAAACTACATTCCATATTTGTTGAGCAGTTACAGTTTTCCTGTGTCACGTTAATGGTTATTAAATTAGTCTCAGACACAGTGTTTCTGGGCTCTTCTGAGATGTGGTGGCATCCTCGCTGCTCTGTGTTTGACCCTGGCTGTCACAGTCACAATCTGGTTCCTTGTTTAAACTTTGACCTGTTTCCTAACACTGCATTTTGTCATTTTAGAAAGACCATCCCTTTCAAATAGCATTAGGTTAATCCATCCAACTGAAAGAATTTTCAGCACCTCTAGATTCTTTGCTGGAGATGGTCACAGGTTATCGGTATGCTTAGTAAGACAGCAATAAACTTACTGGGCCCAAAGCCTGTTTGGTAAGTTTGGATGCAGTTAAATCTGCTTTGTAAACTTCAGTTGAAATATTAAGTTTTCCATTCAGTGAGGACATTGTTTTATCCTGAAAACTTTTTCCTTAAAAGCATTATATAAGATACATATTGCTGATCTAATAGCTTCTGGTATTATTCTTAATGTTTGATTATGCAATTTAAGTAAATGTGTTCAGCCTAGTTTCACCAGTTCATCAAATTTAATGTAACAGGAAGGAATGAGTGTTATTTTATGTTGCTGAAGTGCCTCCTCATTTAAATGTCTGGATTCATTCATTAACCAAGATAAGACGGCAAGAGGGTGGACCATACTTATTCTAACACCTTTGAATTTTTTTTGTGGAATCATCTAACTTTGGAAGACAGTAGGTCAAACTTGGCATGACTATTAATTTACAAATATCTAGGATAAAAAGAGAGAAAAGAATACCAAATTAGAATCAATAGTAATGGGCAAAGAAATGTTCATGTTGCATGTTAGATTAATTTGGTTTTTTAAGTGTCCTGCAGAAAGTCTTTCAATGACTAGACTATCAGAACTTAATCTCTGCAGGTTAGAAGACATGAAACTGGTATTTCAGGACAACTGATATAGCCAGTCCTCCAGGACTTCTTTGACAACAGCAAGGACTGTGTTCAGATTTTAAAAGAGTTGTTTTAAAAACGCTGTACCTAGATTCTGTACACCAACTTAGGCAAATTAAACTCAACATCCAGGTACTCAGCGAGATAATTTTCTCAACCAGCAAATACGTATCCACCAACTTAACATGCAATAATATTGCTATTAATGTGAGAAAAGAAGTCCCACTAACATGATGGGCATACAGAACTGGATTTCTAATGTATAGAAGTAACTAGGTCATAGTCCTCTTCACTGACTTCTCTGCAAGACAGCTGTTAGGCCAACTGGTTGCCCCACTCTTTTGCAGAAACACTTCATTCAGTGCTCAAGACTGAAATCTTGTCACATACCAGTGCTCAATTCAAGCTACCTCCTTGTTCCACTACTTTCTGCCACTGGCTAATTGCAGTGTTGCTAATAGCTGCTGTTACTTCTGCTCCCAGGTGCATGTGCAACATGGAAATTCAGCACATTCCTCTTGCATCCATGAGACTTACAAAGATTGTCTCATCTCAGCCCACAGAAGACTTTTTAGCACTCTCTCCACTCCACAGAATTTGTGAGACTCAAGCCTCATGCTCATTTTCTAGTCTGTAATTTCTCTCACACAAACCTGAAAACTACTGAATCTTTTAAAGTGGTCATGCATATTGGACATGCTTAGGCATCCCTAGCTGTTCTAGACTTGCATATACCATCATGATTACAAACCTTCCTCAAATCATTATATGCTTCCTTCAGTAAAAATGGCTCCCAAATATAATCAGATATTTTTAATAAATGTGTTTCATGCTTGTTCACAGATCTCTTTCAGTTTCTCTTCCTCAGAGGTAAAAAATTGCTTCTCTTTTTTAACTGACTCCCTCTGGAACTGTTGAGGTCTGGAGGAGAAGAACAAAGAGAGAGATTTTTGCTCTAGCTCTCACTGTGCCTAAATCGAGTTGTGCAAATGCAGTCTGCATTCTGACATGTTCAGAATCCAAATAACTTTCATAGAACAGGTTTCATGAATAAAAGTACAAATGAGCTAACAAATGCAATGTTTTTAAACCACATACATTGATAGCCTAGTTTCAAGGAAGCAGAGCATCTGTAGGACGATTTGAACTGCTCTGATGAGAGTTGTATGACTCTGCACTTTTGATCAAGTCACAATGGGCTTTTCACATTGTTTTTTACTATAGCTATACTTCATGCTGAGAGGCACACTAATAATGCCTAACGTTTATTTGGGAAGACGCCATAACCATGTCTACCGTGACCAATAAATACTCATGTACATTCCTATTCATTTTGCTTTCAGGTACCTTCAAGCCAGCCTGATTTGATCTTGTGCCATATATTTAGAAAAGCTCCAAAGTTGAAATTCACATCAAAATGAGGGAACTCTTTAAGGCTTCTATTTATACAGTGACTTGTAACACCATAGGACATTATCCACACGGAATGTCCTTCTTACATTTTTTGTTTAAAAGTTTTCCTCTTTTTCCTGTGTTAGAGAAACTTTACAGAGTGGAGAGTGGCAAAGGAGTGAAGCCTTTCCGACCAGACCTGTCATTGGAAACAGTGGGAGAAAGACAGATGGAAGTAAGCTAATAATTAACTGGGTGAAGGGCAGAAATCCTGGCCCAGCTAGAGCTCATGATCATGGGATGATGAAAGCTTTGCATATCTTATGCCAAATGCCCTAACCTCATGGGAAAAAATGGTATTCAATAGTTGTTACCAGTGAAATGAAATACAACTCGTGAGAATTATTTCACTGGAAAGAAATGGACGCTTATATGGTGCCACTCTGCTGACCCGTTTTAGATATCTTTAAGACGGGATGAATCACACCTCAAATATACCTCTCTCAACTGATTATATAGCCCCTAAGGCTTCCTGCTTGGGTGAAAATGTTTGTATGGCAGACATCATCATATTCATCAATGAACCTCATTCTTTTTGGCTGAATCATTTGTTTCAGAAAAATCCTGGACTCACGATATTGGAAATATAATTACCACATCATTTACCTCCATGTCAATAACTGTATCTGGCACTAGCTGCAAGACTGGATCCATTTACTTGCCTTTTATTGATGTACTGCAAATTCAAATTCAAGTTATGATCATGTCACTAGTCACCACAGAGTTAAATTTAAGATGCCTGCAATGAGTGTCCTAACCATTGATTCAAAGCAGTTAGTCACACATTTTAATATGTTGCCCGTCAAGAGTAACCAGAAATTCCCTAATGAACTATTGCTGTTTAGCACCATTAACCTTCTATATCCATTACTCAGATGGACTTTCCTTAAATTTTTGTTTTAAGGTGTATACACTAGTGAAGAGCTGCTGGGAAGAAGATCCAGAGAAAAGGCCAGACTTTAAGAAAATTGAGAATACTTTGGCTAAAATATTCAGGTGAGCAGCAGGAGCTCTGTTTCTTAAGATGCTCCAAACTCCTCCTAAGTAAGCTCATGTGATTATGATTCAGTGGAAAAACTGAGTGTCTTCACTTAGATCCTCTTTTATTCCTTGGCATTAAAGTAGGTGAGCACGTGCACATGTATACGTACATGGGTGTACATGAGCATCTATGCATATATTAACTGAGTGAGGGTAAGACTATCACCATACCTCAAATTGTTACATTGTGAAAGTAGCAAGCTGGATAATTAGAGATTTAAACCATTTAAGTAATTCACCCCCTGTCTCTAGTCAAGAGTTGGATAGTGACTCATGTTTTCTAAGTTTCAGGAAATGAGAGCACATAAATGTTTGGAGGATGATTAGAAAGTTTGAATGAGCTAGGTTGTGCCATACAGGAGCTTGGATGGTCCCAAATTAAGCTGACTAGAAGTGTTGGGTTGTAACTCACCAGAAATATTAATTACAGGGGTTTATTGGTATAAAGCTGTGGCATAGTAAGGGCCATAGCTGGACAAACAATGTGGAGTTATGCAGGCCTTTAACCTGGCCAATGCTGCATTGTTCCTACAGAGTTTGGTCTGAATTGATTATTTTGATGTCCAAACAATGGGCTTTTGATCGCTTCTCTGGGGATATTGCTTCCCATTTTTTTAAACTCTCCTCATCAACAAACCACAACAGTACTTGTATCATTTCACATTTTACATGGGCAGAAGGACAACTGTGCTATGCGTAACTGAGTATATCAGTTGAATAATCTTACTGCAGATGAACAGAAAGACCTGGTTCAGCTCCTAAGCCCCCATCTTACAAAAGCAGAGAGGTTGCCTCTTGCCACATGCAGTGTCTCATTCTCCCCATGGGGGAGTCTAAGATGGTGCATCCCTGACATAAAGATTTGTTTGAAATGAGAGTGGTTTTAAAGTCCAGTTGGGTACAATCTGACCCTAATCTGACTTTTCCAGTGAGCCTGGCCTCATCTACTTTCAGGCTGATCTGGCAAGTGCAGGCTGCCCAGACAAACAGAGGTTATGAGTGACTCATGTTACCATACCTTTGCTTCCAGGAGTTAGTAGGCTGGAGTCTGCAGGATCTTGTGAGTAAAACTAGCCCAGGAGCTGCTAATTGTTCCATTGAATTGCTCTGTCTTCCACACAGGCAGCCCAAAATTGTGTTAATGCTTCTGGCTGAAGTCTCCATCTAAATGTTTGACGCAATTTACTACCTACTATCTTTAGCTTCTTCTTAGCATTCAAGTTGACAGTTACTTTTTATAAACGAATGTTCACAGATTACCCAAGGTAACCTGGAGCTGACAATAATAGCAGAGATAGGTGGTTTAAGAGTTCCTTAAGAATTGCTAGCTTCAATCGAGAAACATGAATCACAGACTTTTGATTCATATATATGTATGTCCTCCAAGCAAGAAAAAGATGATGTATTTGAGGCACTGTGCATTCTAACTACATGGAAGTAAAACACTGGAGAAGTTTCCATTGCTCCTTTTTGGCCTCTTTTTTTGCCTCGCTCAACAATGTGCTTCTGTCAACCTTTCTTTTTGGCTCTTGTGTGTATCTTCGCAGTAACTACCATGGCCAGACCAATGAAAGCTACATGGATACCCTGATCCGGCGTCTACAGCTGTATTCCCGGAATCTGGAGCACCTGGTGGAGGAAAGGACAGAGCTATATAAAGCAGAGCGAGACAGAGCAGACAGGCTTAACTTCATGTTACTTCCAAGGTAACTGGCCAGGAGGATTTTGACTGTCATTTTTTTACATATATCACCTGATTCTTGGAGAGTGAGGGTTGGAATTAATATTAATCTTCCATTTCATTCCCCTCTCATCTGATCCTGGTAGGGAGGAAAGAAGAAGAAGCTGTTCTTGAAGTCTCCACAGTATAGTGGAGTTTCATGCCAAGATGGTACTGGGACCCATTACCTTCCCCAATCTCTCTTCATGCACAGGATCTCCCTTTCCAGTACAAACCTCTTTTCCACTGCCTTTCTGGGAACACATAGAGCTCTGCTCTGCTCCAGCAGAACAGACTGTAGTAGGAGTGTAGAAGGAGTGTCTCCAGTTGGAGAGCAGAAGTGCAGCCCAGTTTCAGTCTGGGGTTTAGTAATGCAGCAGAAGGGCTGAGGTGGGCTGGGCCATTCTGGGCCATACAGGGCTTCAGAGTATGATAGGACAAGTATTATTGACACAATAGTGAAACTATCCTGGTATGTCATTACTATATTTGAGGGTATTTAAGTAGTCAGGGTATTGATTTTATGACTAATCTTTTTTTTAAAAAAGTGGCTGTTCAATCCAGTTTTGGTGAAAATGGTGTGGCTGTGTAGACTATGTAATAAGAAATTTATGTTTCCTTCTACTCTTTTTATTTCCACCACTCTATTGTCTTATTGTAGATGGAACACAGCGTTGTGCAACACCTATAATTTTCTGGGACTCCTGCTATTATTCTCTTTCAATATGTCCACTAGGAACAGGTATTTTCCTGGATTTAGAAATGGAAGAAAATGAAGGTCCCTCTGAATAGATATTGACTGTCATGGAACTGAGTTTTTGTTCCATAAAATTATTATGGTATCTCATTTGAAATCAAGATGAGGTGATGTAATTATTCGGATGAAATTACTTCTCTACTGGAAAAACAGACAAATATGTCTGTTCTTACTTATTGTGTGGGTAGAATCTAGATCTACATGTCAGAATTTTCAGAATTTCAGTTTTAAATTTGACTCAATATTGCTATTCCTGACCTTACACAAGAAGCTCAGTTAACTGTGTCTCAGTTTCCTCATGGCTATTAATACACTTGAATTCTGTAAGGCTGTAGCACATTAATTAACATTTTAAGTGCTTTGAGGTTCCTGGCTGAAAGATTATGGGCATCTTAAACATACTTACAGTGGCAGTTTTCAGCAAACTGATGTTTCCTACATAGAAAGCAATTATCTGGTTGGGTTGCACGAAAAAATATCTTTAATATTAAACACTACTCATCTGTCTTCCTGCCTTCTCTGTTTACACAGGCCAGTAGTAAAGTCTTTGAAGGAAACTGGTCTGGTAGAACCAGAGCTATTTGAAGAAGTCACTATCTACTTCAGTGACATTGTTGGCTTCACCACACTCTGCAAATACAGCACCCCTATGGAGGTGGTAGATATGCTGAATGATATCTATAAGAACTTTGACCACATTCTTGACCATCATGATGTTTACAAGGTGATTAGCTCTGCACTTTTGCTCACTTAACAATCAGAGGATGCACAAATCAAATTGCATGATGTGGTAGACTTGGGAATCTCCCTTCTAAGCAAAGACGAAAGAAGCAATGTGCCTACTTATACTGAATTTTCTATACTAAGTGGTAATAGATTCACTAACTGGAATGCTGGGTACAGTTATAAACACTTATATACCAAGGAGGTTTCAGCTACTTTAAATTAATCAATCAATCTTGCTGTCCAGGGAAGAAATGTTTAATCATGAACAAGAAGATCTGATACAACCTTTCTGCTTTTAACTAAATATGTAATTTGCCATATCTGCAGGTAATGAGCTCCAATTTTGTTACCACAGGTGGAGACCATTGGTGATGCTTACATGGTGGTGAGTGGTTTACCTAACAGGAATGGCAACCGGCATGCAGTAGACATCTCCATGATGGCTCTGGACATCCTCAGCTTCATGGGATCTTTTGAACTGAGGCATCTGCCAGGTCTGCCTGTTTGGATTCGAATTGGAATTCACTCTGGTACGCAATAGTGCTAGATCAACAATGACAATGTTGTTGCCTTGGTTTACATCATACACAATTGCTTTCCTCACGAAGTGTCAGGTTGAAAACAATGTACCTGCAGGAAAAGCAACAGAAATAAATAAGCCATTGATTTGCCCCCCTGTAGTAAAATAGCCCATATCCATTCACTCATAGCTTAGTCAGTAGCTAGGAAGAGCAACTACCATTGTTCCTGGTATGATTAAGCCAGTTGTATCAAATAAGCCTTCACAGATCACTCCTCCCTGACCAAAGTGGGGAACAGTCATGGCCAGCTATGCATGTCTAGCCAAAAAATGCAAGCCTGTATTTTACACTTTTGGAAGCAAAAATTCTGTCAAGCCTACATGGGAATTAATGTTTTAATTTATCCCTATAAATACTTTTCATCAAAGGGGAATTGCAGATAGCTCAACAATCCGAAGTACTTTGGGAAATTTTATTTCCACTTGTTTCAACAACCACCTGAACACCAACTGCCAGGGGAGGAACGTATTGCTGAAAATTACTGAGGCACTGGGAAACAGCTTGAGGCATCACTATGGACCTCTCCATAATGAAGTTTATTCTTTTTTTCTCTTGCTTCAAAAACTGACAGCTAGTAACTGTGCTTTTTTTCTGCACTGAAATTGTGTTTAAATACAATTAACACTGTGCACCTGTGTACTTTTTATGCTTTTGTTGGATTATGTAAGACTAACAGAGCTGGTCTAGCTTTGGAGTAAAAGGGGAGACCACTAGACTCTTCAGAAAGTGAGGTACAGAGTATTGCTGTTGGTGAGGAATGCAGAGCTCCAGCAGGCACCGCACTGCTCTGCAACAGTGAGACACCTTCCAAACAATCTCTTGATCTACCTTTTAACATTCTCTGCATCCCATTTCTAGGTCCATGTGCAGCTGGTGTGGTTGGAATAAAAATGCCTCGTTACTGTTTGTTTGGAGATACGGTGAACACAGCTTCGCGGATGGAATCCACGGGTTTGCGTAAGTATTTCATTTTAGCTGTCAGTGTAACAGGACCAAAGGCTGTTGGTTAGTCTGTGACTGAACTGTCTGCTTTCAGCTGAAAACAATTTATTATCAGCTTGCAGAAGTTTTAAAGATGAAGAAGCTCTATTTGTTTTGATTATTAATTATTTCACTGTCGGAAGTGACAGCGGACACTTCACTAAGCATGTTCCTTGGTCATGCTTCAGTACTGGTGATGGGGAGTACATAGGCCGAATCACTGTCTGAGTTCTCCCAGAAAACATGATACTCATGTGTCTGGAATTCAGTTTTACTCTATGAAGTGTAGATTTTTAGTTTGACTGGAATTGTGTTACAACTTTGCTGTGAAAATATGAAAACTATATTTTAAATTGAAGCAATTATGTCTTCACCATTAAGGAACTGTGCCAAGAGTCAGTTTGTCTTTCTTCGACCAAATGTCTTCACACAACTATCTTTATTTAGGTAATTCCCAATAACTCTGTTCCCTTTTGGCATCTAAATACTACAGATACATTGGTCACCTGTATTTCAGAACAATAGCTGTACCAGCAATTCCTCCCTAAATACAGTGCTATATAGTGGAGTCAGAGTTTTTGTACAGCAATGTAACTGATTCTCATTTAATTTGACTCTCAGAATTTATGTTGATAATAGTTGAAGGAGTTTCTGCTATAGCACCAGTTATATACTTACACCCTATATACTTAATATGATTAGGTGGAATGTTTCCAGGTTGAGCTTTCATTGTCTCTTTAATTTTTAGCTTTAAGGATTCATGTAAGTGGTTCCACTATTAACATCCTGAAAAGAACAGACTGCCCATTCCAGTATGAAGTGAGAGGAGAAACGTACTTGAAGGTAATCTTTACCACGTCTAGTGTGAGGTGTCCCTGCTCATGGCAGGGGGGTGGAACTAGATGATCTTAGGGTCCTTTCCAACCCAAACTATTCTATGATTCTATGTAAATGCATGAACACTGAGAAAAAGGGTAGCATAAAAGCATCACATAGCTGAGACTACCCTGCAGCTTCATTAACAGCTGGGGAACAAGGTTGGGGGGATGGGGAACATCAACTGGCATCACAGTCTCTAGTGGTTGAAGACACTTCTATAAAGACAATGAAGGCAATGAAGAACTCCCTAAGTCATAAATTAAAGCAACATAAGGATGTGGAGAAGAAATGAAACATATCATGTGTAACAGAAAACTGTAGAGTGAATTAATCTGATGGAAGGGAAGCTAAATCTATTGCTAATTTCCTCATGCTCTGATAGCTGACTGTCTATCTAACAATCCATTTATTTCAGTCTGCTACACTTGGCAGATTCTGTACTTGGGAACTGGTGGCAGGCAGCACAGCTCACCTCTGTGCAGCTGCATCTCCCCCATTATTCTTCTTCTCACATCTGATTTTTATTCCTTTGCTGTAAGCATCAGTTACTGAAAACAAGCAAAGGCAAACACATCAATACGCAATACAGTATTAAGTGAATTAACAATGGGAAATTGTATTCTAATCCTGAAATGGTGCTTTCTCTTTGTCATACATTTTTAGGGCAGAGGAACAGAGATTACCTACTGGTTGACAGGTTCTGAGGACAAGAAATACAATCTCCCAACACCTCCCTCTGTGTAAGATGGTCTTTATATGTGAAAAGGGAAGAGAAATTCCCAGTTTTTGCACTTTAGCCTTCACTGTTCCTCCCTGGCATTTCTTGTTTTTTTTCATGTCACTCAACTTGCTTTCAACAGTTAGAGGCTTAACAGCGTATATGCATATAAACATGCAAACATTCTTGACGTGGGACTATGTGTGTACTGAAGGTTGGAACTAGATGATCTTAAGGTCCTTTCCAACCCTAAGTATTCTATGGTTCTATGACATATATATATATATAAGTGCTTAATGGGTTCATTTCCTTGGAAGGGAAATAACACAGGACAAGTTCTGATGTGGTAAGTGCAGAAAATACACATGGAAAGTACATGTCTCTGGGCTGCACAGGAAATACTGTGAACATCACTTCTATGGTGCATTGCATTTGTAAACTCAGAACTCTTTTTTTTTTTTTTTTAATCAATATGATCTGTTGAGATGATCAGAATTATAAAATTGCTAATTCTTCTGGAATTCAACTATTGAAAGTACCTATTAAGCTGTATCACTGTCGTCTGTGATAGTTTTGGTTTTGCTTCCTCATATAGGTTGTGACTGATAAAGTTGCCCCTTAAAATTGTCATATATGGGGTACTCCAGAAATTTATGAAGAAAATGTATGAAAAGTGGCAATTTAGTTACTGAAGGACACTTGAAGTTGAATAAGGAAAGGGCTGGTGCCAGTAATGGTGTTGAAAGCTACAATCTATTTGATTGGGAGTGAATCTAATTAATTCTTCCTTTTCATGCAAATGATCATGATTTTTTTTAAGGTCTATAATGACACTGTGCAGAGTCACGGATCTATACTATTTGGACAAATCACATGGAAATCCTGAATTCTGTTCACAAATCCAGAACCTGAATATGGTTCTGTGCACACTTTTTATCAGTAGCATGTGAATGTGATTAACATGGGATAGAGATGTTTTAAAAAACACTGGGGATCACTACAAACATGCAAATCACTGATTTTTGATTTTCCATCCTTCTGCTTCTAGGGAGAACCAGCAGCGGTTACAAGATGACCTAGCAGAGATGATAACCAATATTCTTCAGAAAAGGAAAAATGAAGGATCCAAGACACATAAGCTTTCACGGGTAGCTAGTTACCGATCAGGTACCCTGGAATACCTACAACTGGTCAGCACAGAGAATTATGACACATATATTTAAAACTGGATGTCTAGTATGACTCAAAAAGCTGCAGCAGCTCTCTGAAGGACTTCATATAAAGCCTGGAGGCTTATACTCTCAGCTAGAGGAGAAGGAAAATATCTTTTCAAGCATCCTTTCAACCAGCTGACCTGCTATCAGTAAATTAAACCTCTCTTCACTGTAATGTCGAAATTGTTGGATGACTTCAGTAAGACACATGCAACCTGATTGAGGTAAATGAAAATATCTGCATTTGAGTCTGGAAAATATTTGGTTTTGTTTGTCTTGGTTAGTTTTTTAAATGGTATAGCCTGTTCAATAATCCACTTCTGAAAATATTCATAGCAAAGCCTTAATTTGCCAAGATTTTTAGATGTTGTATTTAATTTGCAATTTCTATTTGAAGAAAGATTTGGTGTAATATATTTGAAAATATCATTAAACATGTAATACGTAAATCCTGGACATGTTGCCATTTTGCTTCTTCTGTTGGTTTCCCCTGTGTCTCACATGTTTTGTTTAATCAAGTTGACATTGTTCAAGAGACAACACTTCTGTTATTTACCTTGGGAGATTAGTCCAGAAGCTGTATGGTTTCTAAAGCTTATCTGAATCTCTTGAGCTTGCAAAATGAGACTGGAAATCTTGCAAAAACAGACACTTTCACATCTTTTCTCCATTTCTGCTTCTGCCCCCAAGCCAGAAGTGCAACAGAAATGAAGAAACCCAACTTACTGAACTTAAACCTCAGAAACTTTCAATTCAGCTTTTGGATAAAGTTTCACAACCAGGCAAAACTCAGGTTTTACTCAAGTGACTTGCTCATTAACTGACACCATGGCATTTATATTAATAAACAGCTGTAAAAAGCAACCAAAACAGGGGAGGCATGTAAAAGAAAATCAGCAATCACATGAAGAAATAACAACTAGTCACTGAAACTTTTGCAAAGGCCTTTTGGGCATTGGTGGCTTTCAAAGCAGAGCTACTTCTTTCACCACTGTCAAATATTGGTCGGTATTCAAACCATAGAACTTGGTGCAAAGTCATTCTTTTATTTTTTTGAACAGCATCTTTGTTCAAGTAAACAAAATATTTTAAAAAGATTTAAGCCAGTTGCCTTTGTTTTTTTTCTCTGTCAACATGTATTGGCTTTGTAGGAAAACACAAAAATAGAACAACCTAGGTGTAAACACACAGAAGTGCAAAAGTTCCTGGAAAAATTAAATCATGAGGTGCTGTAGGGCTTACACTTTTGCCTAATGAATGTAAATTCGTACACCGAGGAACATGATATAGACAGAAACAGCAGATAACATGTAACCAACAGCCACAGCTTTCAGATTATATGTAATCAGTTTTAAACTTGGACTGGCACTAATCATAGAACCTTAGAATCACAGACTGATTTGGGTTGGAAAGGACCTTAAGTTCCAACCCCAGACATCTCACATAGACCATGTCACCCAAAGCTATGTCCAGCCTGTCCTTTATCACTGCCAGGGATGGAGCATTCACAAGTTCCTTGGGCAACCTGCTCCAGTGCCTCACCACCCTCATAGTAAAGAACTTCCTTATATCTAACCTGAACTTCCACTGTTTCAGTTTGGATCCATCACCCCTTGTCCTACCACTACAGTCCCTAATGAAGAGTCCCTCTCCATCATCCTTATAGGCCCCCTTCAGATACTGGAAGGCTGCTATGAGGTCTCCAAGCAGCTTCTCTTCTCCAGGCTGAATAGCCCCAACTTTCTCAGCCTGTCTTCATATGAGAGGTGCTGCAGCTCCCTTATCATCCTTGTGGCTCTCCTCTGGACCTGCTCCAACAGCTCCATGTCCTTCTTACGTTGATGATACCAGAACAGCACACAATACTCCAAGTTGGGTTATAATACCATACCGTCTTCTGTCTGTATCCTAATGGAAACATTCATTGGGATGAAGATAGAGAAAAAAAAGAAGACTGGTATTCTAAAAATGGTATTAAACCTATTGACATAGGTTTAAGAATATCAGTACAGTATAGAAGTACAAAGTCTGCTATTTCCTACCTCGTTGTGCAAATCAACAGGCCTTGTCTCTATGCCTGCATTCTTGGGTGCAACTGCTGCACTACTTTGCATCAACTGGGCTGTCCTGGTTGCTGTAGCTGATACGCTCAGCAAGCATAGCTGTACGGCAGTGACAAGCGTCACTTGGACTCTTCTTGCCTGAAGAAGCCCACTACTACTATCTTAATCAGATCTGCTCTAATCTTTGAAGTGATGTAAGTAAGTCTATTCTTAAAGAGGAGCTTTACGGGTTCCATTCTTGACACCTCTGAGATACAAATTATTTTAAAGTAGATGTCTGTTGACGCTTATGGAGACAAACAGTATTTAGTTTTCAGTAGCCCTTCTCTTTCCTGCATTCTTCAGATCGTAAATTTCATACAATTCTTTGAAGATAAATAGTTTCCTTAGCAATGAGATTATGGATCTATCTTCTCGTAGGTTTGTTTTCTATGTGGTTTTGTTCCTGCACCTATCTGTCAATCATACATCACAATAAAATAATTTTTTACTATTGTCGTGGTTTAAACCCAGTCAGGTAACTTGTTCACTCACTCCCAGTGAGTGGTGCCGAGCTGACAACAATCGAGGTCCGTCCCCCCCCCTGCACCGGGGCTCTCCCCTTTCCCGCTCCCGGAGGAACGGGGAGGAGGATTGAAGAGTGCAACTCCTACGGGTTGAGACAAGAACAGTCCAGCAACCAATGTACAACACAAATCACCACCGCTACTATCAACTACAACAATGATAAGGGAAAATAACAAGGGAAGAGAATACGATACCACCGGCCAAGAAAACAAGTCCCACCCAGAAGACCATGTCCTTCCGGGTAACTCCCAGTTACCCCCCACCCCGGGCATGACGTGCTGTGGTATGGAATACCTCCCTGGCTAGGCCGGGTCAGGCGCCCCATCTCTGCTTCCTCACAGCTTCCCCTCCTCCCTGGCAGAGCATGAGCCTCACAAAGTCCTTGGTCAGGGTAAACATCACTTAGCAACAACCGAAAACATTGGCTTCACCAACACTGTCCCCAGGCTGGAAGTCAAAACACAGCACTGCACCAGCTAACACAAAGGAAAAACATGACTGCGACTGCTGAACTCAGGACAACTATTCTTTTAAAAAATTTGCTCCTGGTTTCTGTTTTGAATCTCTCTTGGACTCAATTTCTTACCATTGCATCTTGCTATCAAATATTAGATCAGAGCCCTCTACCATCAGAAATCTGTCAGAAATCATTCACCTCTCCTGTTTTGTTTTTTTTTTTTATTTTAACAGTGAAATGTTATATTAAAAACTTCATGTGAGTTCTCTGAGTGGAATGGATTTTCGTGGCACCATCACCATTCATTTCAATTTAACTCACACAAAAATAAAATTTCTGTGAATCTATAGCTTTGAAGCATGAGGTAGTGAAACTTTCCAAATACACATCAGAGCTTTGTAGTTTTGGTCATATTCAGACTCCCCCCATTTCTCCATCTCATTTTTGTCACGCACAGACTCATAGAATGGTTTGGGTTGGAAGGGATCTTAAGATCTTGTAGTTCCAAGCCCTCTCCCATGGGCAGGAACACCTATATGCCCTTGTAAAAAGTCCCTCTCCAGATTTCTTGTAGGCCCCTTTAGGCACTGGAAGCTGCTCTAAGGTCTCCCCAGATCCTTCCCTTCTCCAAGCTGAACAAACCCGACTCCCTCAGCTGGTCTTCATAGGAAAGGTGTTCTAGCCCCTGAATCATCTTCATGGGCCTCCTCTGGACTTGCTTGAGCAAGTGCTATGTTGGAGGCCTCAGAGCTGAATGCAGTACTCCAGATGGGGTCTTATGAAAGCAGAGGGGGAGAATCACCTCCCTGGACCTGCTGGCCATGCTTCTTTTAATGCAGCCTGGGATATGGTTAGCTTTACTGGGCTGCAAGTTCACATTGCTGGGTCAATTTTGAGCTTCTCATCAACTAACACCCCTTCAAGTCTGCCTTAGGGCTGCTCTCAATCCATTCTCTGCCCAGCCTGTAGTTGTGCTTGAGAATGCTCTAACCCAGGTGCAGCTGAATTTGCCTTGTTCAATTTAATGAGGTTCACACTGACCCACCTCTTGAGTCTGTCCAGGTCCCTCTGGATGGCATTCCTTCCTTCCTTCCTTCCAGTGTGTTGACTGCCCATGTTGCCAACAAAGATGTTAAGAAGTGCTGGTGCCAGTTCCAGCCCCTGAGGAACACTTGTCATTCATCCATACTCCACTCTCGTTTCCACATTGTATAGTTGTACTCTCTGCCCTGCATGTTACATGTGCCTCTAATTCCTGACCATATCCATCACTTGTACACAGAGAATCTTGTTTTAAATACTGTGGGTTGTTTTCCTGTGGTAATCCCCTAAAGAGAATTCTATGGAAAATAAAATTTTGTGTTTTACTTCACCAGCACAGTAAAACTGAGAGCAGCATGTGACAAGTGATTTTTTCATCTGGGAAAGCCTTTGGAGAATATCCTTCCAAAGCGAATACAGTATCCATTCCTGATTAGGCCTTTAAGAGTTATTTTTGACTGGGTAGGCAGTAGTGTTGTAGTGCTTTTTCCCTGGGCTTAAGGCCAAGACTTACTACTTGGCCTGAACTGGTTGGCTTGTGACCTTGCTATATGAGGATATTACAGGCACCGGCATCAAATCTGAACTATCTTTAACAATTACCGAAACACAATGGCCTAATGGTGGCTGGTTTAGTACAGTGGTAGAATATCCAACACTGGAGAGAGAAGAAAAGGCAGTATTGCACAATTGTCTGAACCAAAGGGGCAGGGGGAGACCCCAGGGAAGGTTGTCCCTATCTGTAAGCCTTTGGAAAAGGACTGTCCAGCAGCCTTTCTGCTGGGACATGTGCATTTTTTCTTCTCAAAAGCAAGCTGCTCTTCCTCTGATGCAAAATGTGCAGTTTGACAAGGCACCACCTAACTCCTCACTCCCTGTTGCTTTACAGGGGCTTTTCCTCATAAACCTTTGCCCCTTTATGGGCAATCACCCTCCACCAGCCCAGCAGCCGCCTCCTAACTGACCTGTGCCTCATGAAGATGTCCGGCACAATGGTGAGACCCAACCTCGGCCTGGAGTGAGCATCACGTCCCAGCCAGGCACTGGGGATTTTAAACAAGTGTCAGCGACAAAAAGATGTCGGAGCCCTGTGCTCGCCGTCCATCAAACGCCTCCTCCAGTGCCTTCTGCCACCATCACCGTGAGGCGACCGGGCGCAAGGGCAGCATGCAGGCCTTGCCGGCGGGGCTGCCACCGGCTACGAGATCAACGGCCGATCGGGGGCCGCCGCCACGACGCTTTGGGCGGGAAGCGCAGCGTGAAGGGCTGCCCGCGCTGCCGGCCGGTCCCGGGGCGCACCCCGGAGCCGTGAGGGAAGAAGACACAGCCCTTGACTTGGCGGGGCCACCCCCAGCACGGGGCGCCGTGGCTGGGGCGGGTGCCAGAAGAGGCGGAGGCAGCGGCGGGACCTGCCCTGAGCAAGGGAACTTGTTAAAGTCCCGCCGCCCGCGGTACTCAGAGGAGGTGCGCGGTAGCAGCAGCATGGTCCGGCTCGGTGGCGGCGTGTGCTGCTGCTGCTGGGGGCTTGTCCTGTTGTGGGCGGCGGCGGGGGGCCGAGCAGGTGAGACGGGCGGGGCGCGGGAGGGCAGTGTGGGGGGGTCTTGCCCCAAAGTCCCCTCATCGGGACGGCCGGATGGGAGGGAGACAGCGGAGTTGTCCCATGCTCCGGGGGTGCCAGGCGGCCGGGAGAGGCTGTCCCACCGGCTGAGCCTGGCCTGGGCCTCTTGCCGCGGCTCCCGAGGAGGTAGTGCAGCTCGCCCGGGCCCGCCCTGGAGGACCCGCCGGGCTCCGCGTCCCGCCTCGTCGCTGTGCCTCCTCCCCGCGGTGGATAGGGCCACCGTGCCGCCTTGCGAGGCGGCGAGGGGCCTCGTTCGTCGGCAGTGCCGGGGCCGTCAAGCTCCTCCACCCTTTGGGGAGGGCCCATGGGCTTGCTCCGAGAGCACCTCACGTCCCTCCGGCTGGGACAGGCTCGGC